GGGGAAGATCAGGAAAAATAAGGAAAAAATAGTGGAAACGACGGGAGAAAAACCATCAACCCTTCAACAGTCACCGATGTCCTTTTCCAAAGGGTGCATTCCCAGTTTGGGGAGGGGAAGATAAGGAATGTTTGCTGAGCACTCAGGAATTCAGGGTGGCCAAAGTCTGCAGCAAACGAAGCAAAGCAAGGAAATATCCAAGCTGCTGCGACAAGACCTTACCTGGATTGTCAGGAAGGCTTGGCAAGGTAAGGCTTTCAGGGAATTCCTTCCTCAGGAAGAGCTTTGCTGCATTTTGAAGCCTTTCTGCATTTTGCTGCTTTGGTTCTTCCCACTAAATAATCACTTCAAGTCACTAAACAGGCAGGGAGAGACATCCTAAACCAATATAGCTGAGGAAAGGAATGAACTGGAGCGGTTTGGAAAAGAGGTGGAGCAAGGAAAGAGGGGGGAAAAGAGCCAGAACTGAGCACTGGCAGGGACACATCTCTGACACAAAAGAGCATTTATACTTTCCAAGTGCAGATTTGAACAGGCAAGGAGAGGGAAAGGCAGGCAGATTTCAATCAAGGGCTTCAGGATAAGGTTTCTGCTGTTTAAAAAAAATAAAATAATGTGGATTGCAGGATTTTTTTTTTTTTTTGCAGTAAAAGCTACACTGCTGAAGTTTTACGCTGGGAGGCTTTGTAAGATGTAAAAACTCGTGTTTAAATACATTTGTTGTCCTGAAATTGAAAATGAGCCAGGAGAAATGAGTGTGTGTAAAATGACTGGTTACTAGAGTATGCAAGCAAAGAAAAAAAAATTACAAAAAAAAATATGATTTGGACGTTTTGCCCTGCCCAGGAACAACCCAAAGACACGTGTGAGCTGGGACAGAATCACCCCCAGCAGCCTGGCAGGAGCGGAGTTTCCCAGATTCCATCACATTCCTGCTATTAAAACCACTCCAAAGGGGAACTAGAAACATGTTCTGTAGCAGAGAGAAAGTTTTAACAGTGAGGAAAACTGCAGGAGTCAGGCTGGGAGATCAGGGATCAGTTTGTATCCTGATTTAATTAAGGAGCCACTTTGCCCTGAAGGGCTGAGCCCAACGGCACAGGGAGCTTTTTCTGCAGGGAAATACGGCATGAACAGCTTGGAAAAAGAAATGAGAGGTGGAATGTGGGAGAGATCTGAGGCAAAACTATTCCTGAGAGGATCAGAGCATGGGATGAGTCAAGGACTGAGTGCTGGGAAGTCTTAAAATCATGGACTCACAGAATGGTTTAGGTTGGAAGGGACCTTAAAGGTCACCTCATTCCAACCCCCTGCTGTGGGCAGGGACACCTCCCACTGTCCCAGCTTGCTTGGACAATTCAAGGGATGGAGCAGCCACAGCTCCTCTGGGCACTTCCTCAAAAAATCTTTGTCCCAAAAAGCCACACCATGATTTAACTCCTGTTTTGTCCTATTGAAGAGAAACTCCAGAGAGCCAAGACTTCTCAAAAAATGGGAAAAAATAGGGAAAGCACATAAGGAAGAGGCAGAGGAAAGGACAGGTGGGAACAGAGACTGGAACCCAGGGAAGTTCAATCCACCATGGAATATTGCACAAGGCCTGGAAGGACACACTGAGTCCTGGTTTTCAGCTGAGAATAGAAGAGAAATCCCAAGGACCACACATTCCTGGGTGTGATATCACTGCCAGGCTCCACAAAAAGGGGGAAGAAGTCTCAGTGAGTAAGAGCTGATGCTATTTGAGGCTTTGTTTTGGCAAGTAACAAAGGCATTAAGAAGAGCTGGTGATAAAACATTCCCTTGGATTGAGTGCACACAAGCACATTCCTATTAAAGAAGGGATAAAAAGAGGTTAAGTGATGTAAGAGAGCCCAAGTTCACTCTTTAACTGTGAGAAATTAAATCAAAGAGTAAGATCAAGTGGGCTGAGGAGATGAGGGATGGGAAAGCTGCCATCCAAGCCTTTCTCTCAGGTCAAAGATGCAAAGCTATTTGAGAGCTGCATCCTCAGAACTAACCTCGAAAAAGGACATCAGGATCAATTAAAGAGCCTGTGTATCATGGACAGGAAAGGACTCATTAGCAGTGGCTTCAAAGCCAGCAAGGAGCAGGGAGATAAAATAGGAAGTGCCACAAGTCAAGCTGTGCCAGAGCTCAGCAAATGAAAACAAAAGGGCGGGAGATGGTTCAGGTACCCAAGCAAAGGAGAGCAGGAGGGGGAGGGAAGAGACCCTGTAAGGAGAGCTGGATAAAACCAAGCTTAACACGGAATTAAGAGTGGAGTAAGGACATGAACACGGGTGGAAGGCAAAGTGTGTTGTGGGGCTGAGGTTGTAAAAGAGACAACCCAAGGTGGAGACAGAACTGCCATGTTCTGATGTGTTCTAATCCAGGGAAAGCAGACAGGGCCCATCCCATCTCCAAAAGAAATGGCACGTGCAACAATACCCCCTCTGGAATGAGGTTGTTAAAGCAGTCCAGCAGCTGAGCATGGATCTGTGGAGCATTTAAAACTCGTATTTAGAGGAGGAGGGAGAATTTAAATACTCATCCTGCCAAGACCCCAACGGTACACAAAGTTTCCAGGAGAATTTTGAATAAAAGAACTTAATGAGCGAATGAAAAAACCGGAATGAGGTGCAGACAAAGCACTGGAGGTGCCAACAGTCACCTGTGCTATTCCAGTCCACTGTTTCCTCTCTGGAAGAATTATTTACTGTAAAGACCTAAGAAGTGCAGCTGAGCTAATCCAAACTTCATTATGGATATCAATACACTGGGAATTCTTCATTATGGATATCAGTACACTGGGAATTCCTGCATGACACAAAGATGGTGAAGATTGTTTCAAGAGTCAGAGTGGTTTAAAAAGGACAGAAGTCATTTCAGGGATGGCATTTGGATATGTTCATGTTCTCAGAGAGTCCAGAGGAGGCCCCGGAGATGCTGCCAGGGCTGGAGCCCCTCTGCTCTGGAGCCAGGCTGGGAGAGCTGGGGGGGTTCCCCTGCAGAAGAGAAGGCTCCAGGGAGACCTGAGAGCCCCTGGCAGGGCCTAAAGGGGCTCCAGGAGAGCTGGAGAGGGACTGGGGACAAGGCATGGAGGGACAGCACACAGGGAATGGCTTCAAATTGGAAAAGGGGAGATTTAGATGGGATATTGGGAAGGAATTGTTGGTTGGGAGGGTGGGGAGGCCCTGGCACAGGTTGGGCAGAGAAGCTGTGGCTGCCCCTGGATCCCTGGAAGTGTCCAAGGCCAGGCTGGCCTTGATCAGATCCTGATCCCCACGACCAAAACTGCACAAGTGAGACAAACACCTGGAAGCAGAGAAGGGAAACAGAGGAGGGAGCTGAACCTGAATAACCTGTTCCACAGGAAAAGACCAGGAGGGTTTGTCCTGCTTAAGCCAACAAACAAACACTGAGGCTTTGGAGAGGATGTGACCTGTCCAAATTCATCCAGGGAAAGCAGGAGTTTGAGCTGCCAAATGAGGAGGTGGAGGGGACATTTAAGCTCAGTGACAACACTGGCACAGGAAAAGCCTTAAATTCCCTGTCAGTGCAGGTGGATGGAGAGCAGAGTAAACCCAGGAGAGCTTTAGGGACAGGACACAAAGTATTAACACACAGAGTTCTGCAGCAAGAAATAGCAAAGTAATAAATCAGGATAAGATTCAGTCCAGCACTGATTGTGGAAAATCAACTATCAGTCAAAATAGCCTGCAAGTTAAATAAAATATGATTTTTTTTCCTGACTCCTGTGATGGTGAATTTGATAAAAGAGACGCTCAAATATTTAAATAAATCACCACACAAGTGCCAACCTTTACACACAGGTTTTACTTCCACTCCTACAAGAGTATTTCAATGAAAATGAGGTTCAGTACTTGCTGCTTGGCTATCCAATGACACCAAGGTTTGACCCTGCAGCTCTTGCCAGCTCCTCCACATCCAAAAATCAGGACTTGAAAATAAACTAAAAGACTTCAACAATTTGTAAAATAAAAACTCTCCTGTTGGCAAATGATTATCGAAACTGTTAAATGGCATTAAAAAGAAGCTAAAAGCAGTCCAAAGTCAGCCTCTCAAATCCACAGCCTGCCATCAGCAACACCAAGTTTCCTGAACACTTAAAACCCTCTGTCTTTAGCAGAAGGTGATGCAGAAATTCCACAAGTATTCCTAATATATTTTTAAAAATTAAGGGAATGACTTGAAAAATATCATTAAAGCTCAAGGAAGGTTTTTTTTCCAGGTGGATCTCATGCCCTTGCTCAGTATTATCAGGGAATTTGTGGGACTGAATGTCAGAAACACCAAGAACTTCAAAGTGAAGTCTCAGCCTTTACATCCTAATCGGCTGGACAAGGGTGAAGATGGGAGAATTTGGGTTCCTGTGTTTGATCAAGTTTCTTAAATAAGAATTCAAACATGCCAGGCCTTATCTGAGCTCTGTGCATTCCCCAAACCTGGAGGTCTTCAAAGCTGGACAGGGCTTGGAGCAACCTGGGCCAGTGGGAGGTGTCCCTGCCCATGGCAGGGGGTGGCACTGGGTGGTCCTTAAGGTCCCTTCCAACCCAAACCATTCCATGATCCCTGTCCCAGACCCAGCAGGGTTTTTGTCCTTCAAAGCAGCCCCACATCAGTCTGAGCACACAGAGAGCTGACATTTGCTTTTCCTCTGCCTCCACATGCCAGGATTGGTTTTTAACGTCCTCCCTCTTTCTACTCAACATGGTATCTCCACACTCACCTTGTTAAACCTGTTAATAACTGAGCACCTCACTTCATTTCCCAGCACATTTTCAAGCCCCCTGGGCTGAGGCAGCACCAGAAGACGCCTCACACCTTTCCCCTCTTATCCAGAACACCCAACTCCATCTGCTGGGGGATTGCACTGGGGCTAGCCCAGCCTGGACGACTCACAGAGCACAGCAAAGTGTCACCAGAAAGAAAAATAAAAGGCACTTTTAAAGAATCACACATAAATGACCAGCTCTTACCTGGATTTTTATGGGCCAGGTGAAGTTGCTGACGTACACGAAGAACGTGATGTTGGGGTTGTTGCGGAAATCAAACTTCTCGTTGGAGAAACTGTCCTTGTATTCTTTGATGTTGGTTCTGGAAACGACTGGAATTTCCTCCCCAGCCTGTGTGCCAGCTGGTTTGGGAAGGAGGAAGGAAAAAAGTTTGGATGTGTATTTAAAATAACAACAAAAAAAGGCAAATCAGCCTGAGTTCTAACGGTGAAAAATTAACTATTCCTTCAGAAATTATTCTCTTTAGCAGCACTGCAACACCAAAATCACCGTGTGCCAAAATGCTGCAGTATTAAAAATCAAATTTGCACCTTTTTATGTTTCCAAAATGCACTACTAACATGGCAAACATAGTTTTTTTAAAAACATTTCACCTCCTCCTTCAGGCTTAGCCTTTAAGAACATTACATATCAAGTACAGAGGTTAAAATAAAATTAAAATGTTTTCCCAATAAAATTTTCATTTGTCAGAAACTGATAACTGAAACAAGCTGCCAAGATCAGGCTCATTTTACCTGCAAAACTTGTGGACCAAGTAATGTTGAGGTTGAAGTTTTTGGATGCGTTGATGAACATGTCCAGGTCTCTGTTTTGCTGTGGAAAGGAAACAAAAAAAAAAAAATAAACTCCCATTTTTAGGATAAGCAGATGCACTGCACAGATCCCTCACAAACCTTTGCTACAAAAAAAATTACCTTGGAATTTGTTATTTCCCTGAAGAAAATACATCAAGCAAAAAAACTAAATAACTGTATTTGCTGAAAGGGAGTATTCTCCTCCCCAGGGAAAACATGAGAAAGAATAAAACAAGTGCAAAGGAAGAACTGAAACACAAGATTTGGGGGGAAAACGAGCAAAGCATCTCAGCTCCAGAGCCAGGCTGGGAGAGCTGGAGAAGAGAAGGCTCCAGGGAGACCTGAGAGCCCCTGGCAGGGCCTAAAGGGGCTCCAGGAGAGCTGGAGAGGGACTGGGGACAAGGCCTGGAGGGACAGCACACAGGGAATGGCTTCAGAGTGGAAAAGGGGAGATTTAGATGGGATATTGGGAAGGAATTGCTGGTTGTGAGGATGGGGAGGCCCTGGCACAGGTTGGGCAGAGAAGCTGTGGCTGCCCCTGGATCCCTGGAAGTGTCCAAGGCCAGGTTGGAGAACTCCGGGATAGTGGGAAGTGTCCCTGCCCGTGGGAACAAGATGGCCTTCAAAGTCCCTTCCAAGCCAAACCATTCCATGATTCTGTAATTCCACAAAACCTGAGTGGCTCAAAGGCTGTTCAGACAACTGGAAAAGAACGAACCGTGCATCCTTACAAAATTTTCCCACGAAAATTTGGGACTTGCACAGGCAAGGCAAGGCCCAGGGCCAAGAGGAGAGCAGAGGACACCCCAAGGGATGAGGAAGCTGGAAGGGAGGGTGGAGGATGTTACCTCTTCGGGAGTGGCCACGAAGTTGATTGCGGTGTAATAACGATCGTCCTCCTGGGACAGGCTGAAGGTGAACTGATAGTCGATGAGGAGAGTGTCTGTAAGGAACACAGGGACGGTTATCCCACCCCCCTGGAATGAAACAACGCCGGCACAGCAAGGCATGAAGGGATTTTTGGACAAGCAGGAGTCAGCACACCGTTAGGAACCACCCCCAGCCCGTGTGGGATCCCACACAAGGGACAAAAAACCCCCGAGCTGAGCCTGAAGGGGGAAAGAGGTGGCTTGGATTTGCCAGACAACAGCTGGTCTAAGTGGAAGCTCATACCTAAATATTGTAAAAAACATTTAAATTGTGTAAAAAAACCAGTGTTCACGCCTAAACACTGTAAAAAACATGCCAAGATACTGACTTTTGCAGCCTGCAACACCTCCATGATCCAAAGGAATAGCAGGAAAATTAAGGGGACTTGCAATTCCCACTTGGGAGGCGACAAAGTTCCCCCCATGTCAAGTTTCTGTATGTCAGTGGACTCTGCTGGGAGGATTTCCAGAGAGCAGCTGGTTGTTGATGGACTCAGCTCCCATCCTGTCTGGAATTCATCCCACCCAGGCATTCCAGGGGCAGTTTTTATGTCTGCCTGGATGTCCTTCCACGCTCATGTTTACCAACAGCCAGTTTTGGGGATGCATCCACCAGTCTCCTCCCTTTATTAAAACACCATATTCTGACTTGTCCATATTCCTGAGGCCGTGCAGGAACACTCCAAGCCACGAGGAACAGGAAATGATACACCAGGTGCTCTTTTATCTCTCACTGCCTCCTGGAGATCCCTTGTGGATAGAGAAAGCCAGACAACCCGATGTCTGGAATCTCCAAGGAATGAAACCAAGCAAGACTGGAGCCCTAAAGCACAAGATTCTTCCTGCAGGAGTTGGAATGTTCTGCCTTTTCCCTGGTTTTCTGCCCGTTTTTCCCACCCCTGCGATGAATCTGGTCATCCTTGCAGAGAGATTGTCACGAGGAGCCACCCACGGCCTCGTTTGGCCACACGAGCAGGACCCAAACGAGCCAAAAACCAGCGGGTTGGTCATTTCTGTGCCCACTGCTCGTGACTCCATGGAATTCCAGATCCCATCTCTCCACCCCTGCCAGGCTGCTGATTGCTAATATTTGCAAACACAGCCTGGAGAGTTTCCATCAAGTAATCTGAGTCTTGGCAAAGGATCTTCTGGAATTGCACGGGAATCCAACTGTTCAATTCCGAGGAAACGTGGCAGGTTTGGAAGCCCATTTAAACAAGGAGCCAGAATTTAAAATAAAGAGCATTTTGCATAAAAATCCATAAAAATTTCCATAAAAATTTCCATAAAAATCCTCTGGATTTTACCTATTGGGAATATATTTTAGACCAGATTTCATCCCAGTCACGTGAGAAACATCCAAAACTTTTGTTCAAACGATCCAATCATCACAGAGACCTTATCAAGAACAGCATTTTCATTTTCTTTAAACAACACTTTGCAGAAAAAAAAGTTAACTTTTTCCGAGCTGTTTTTCAGTCCTTCCCTTAATCCCCCATATTTTAAACACACGCTGAGGCAACTAAAACAAGCTTTAAAGGAGGTGTTTTAAACTTCAAGCACATTTTTTTTATCTGCAAACACAATCCCAGGGGTACTCACAGTAACACGTTCCTTTGAGTGGATTTCCCTGATATCTGTTTTCGACTTCACACCTGAAAAAAAAAAAAGAAAACACGTTTTTTAATAAATGGATTTTGGTTGTGGGTTTTTTGGGGTTTTTTTTTGGTAGTTTGATTTATTCCCAGCCACTAAAATATCAGAGAACACAACCTGTGCTGATAACAGCAATGATTAAAGATCAATGTCTGAGCTGGGCTGGGCTGGGCTGGAGGAAGAAATTCTACGTTCTCTGCGAGTCAAACTCGCACAGGATAAAAAAATGAAATATAAAATTCTGGATATCAACCTCTGCATCCACTTAGAAGGTATTTATTAGCTCTTCACAAAGCATGGAACTGGATTAGCTCAGTCAAAAAACTAATTTCCATTTACATTTACGGTTATTCCAGGATCCCTCCGATAAATGTTTGCTCGCGCGAGCGACGCTCTGAAAATAAACCTGGCAATGAAATCCTCTGGAATTAAATTATTTCCACTAACACTGCACTAAAAGCATTTCTGTTTCGTTACAGAGAAACCTGCAGCAAATTTGTTGCTCTAAAACCGCTCCATTAAACTGCTTGAATGTCAAAGGCTCGTTTCGGAGAGATTTTACACCCGCCCGGCACGGGGAGCAGGGGCTGTAAAATCCCCCAATTAAAGAGGAACTACTGAGGGAGAAAAAATCCTGGAGCCAGTCCAGAGATGCTGCCAGGGCTGGAGCCCCTCTGCTCTGGAGCCAGGCTGGGAGAGCTGGGGGTTTCCTCTGGAGAAGAGAAGGCTCCAGGGAGACCTGAGAGCCCCTGGCAGGGCCTAAAGGGGCTCCAAGAGAGCTGGAGAGGGACTGGGGACAAGGCCTGGAGGGACAGCACACAGGGAATGGCTTTGAACTGACAGAGAGTAGATTTAGATGGGATATTGGGAAGGAATTGTTGGCTGTGAGGGTGGAGAGGCCCTGGCTCAGGTTGGGCAGAGAAGCTGTGGTTGCCCCTGGATCCCTGGAAGTGTCCAAGGCCAGGTTGGAGCAACCTGGGATAGTGGGAAGTGTCCCTGCCCACGGCTCATGGAATGACCCATCTCATGGAACGAGATGCTCTTTAAGGTCCCTTCCAACCCAAACCATGCTGTGATTCCATGCATAGCTTTGGGGGGGGGGGGGCACTTCATTTCTCCATCCCTTCCGTGTAACATTCCCAGCCGAAACGTTCGTAAAAATGGAGTTCTTCAGGATTCTTTTGGACATCCCCCAGGGGAAGCCCAGCTGGCTGCACCCTCAGAGCAGCCACTGAACCATCAGCAGGAAGAGATGGGCAGGGACACCATGAACATCACCAGGAAGAAACAGGGGGGACAAGGGGATTCCATGGTGGGATTGGGGTGGTTCCATAGTGGGACAAGGCATTCCATGGTGGGATTGGAGGGGTTCCATGATGGGACAACGGTGGATCCATGGTGGGATAAAAGGGGGTTCTATGGTGGGAAGGAGGGGCGTTCCATGGTGGGACAAGGGAGATTCCATGGTGGGATTGGGAGTGGTTCCATGGTGGGACAAGGCATTCCATGGTGGGACAAGGGGATTCCATGGTGGGATGGGGGGGGTTCCACAGTGGGACAAGATGGTTCCGTGGTGGGACGGGGGGGTTCCATGGTAGGAAAAGCGGGGGTGTTCTGTGGTGGGACAGGAGGGGTTCCTGGGGTGGCCGGGGCATTCCATGGCGGGACGGGCACGACTCTTGGCTTTCAAACAACAAAGAAACAAACTCACAGCTGACACTCATCTCCTTTGATCCCCTTGGTGGTGCAGAAACACTTGCCAGTGTTGGTGTTGCAGACGGACGCGTGGCCGTTGCACTTGCAGGCTGCGGAGCAGAGAAGAGGGGGAGGAGAAGACACAACACTCAGCGAGGCAAAGAGAAACAAACCCGACAGCAATTAAGTCCTTCAGTTGCCAAACTGAGCTGCATCAACAATTAACGTGCAGATGAAAACCCATTTGGTGCCCTTTGCTTTCCTCTCATGCAGCCAGAAATAGAACCGTGCGTCAAAACGGAGCGAGCGCGGCCCCGCCGCTGATGTTTGTGGGAAAGCATCGCCAGACTGAGCTTTTCAGCCTCAAAAATTTATTGAACTTCCTCTCCCCGCTGACAGACAGCAGCGGGGATGTCATGGCTGGAAAGGGAAACAACGTTTGGAACGGTTTGGGGCTTGCTGAGACATCTCGGCCGAATTCGGAACTCCGGAGAGAAGAGTTTGGGAATTGAAACAAAGCCTTTTCCAGGAAGAAATAAATAGGAGAAAATAATGTGTCAATAGTCCTATGGAGAAAGTAATGTCATTATCAACGGTGTCAGCAGAAAACATCTGGTGCCAAGAAGACGATGGCCATGTTGGAATTTGGGGCACATTCCCCCAGTGTATTTTAGGATAACTTTGAGGTGAATGCCACTGGGTTGTCGTTGAAGTAACTCAGCTGGACTGTAACCTGGACTTCCCTCAGGTTTGGGGCCTGCCCAAAATAGCCCAGCTAAGAGTTAGACCCCAGTTTGCTCGAGATCCAACCCAAGGTCCCACGGTGGGGGTGTCCCCACACAGGGAGATTTGCTTCCCAAAACCGCTCCTGGGTCAAACTAAATGCCCATGTTGGCACACTCTGAGACCTTTACTCATAAAGGTGGAAAGGAGGAACGTGCAGAAAAACCCAATCCAAAACCCAATCAACAAATAAGAACAAAAAACCAACACAACCGGTTGCCTGGGATGTCACCGGAGAAGAGTGGACAGAACAACTTTTTCAGCCTTTAAGGAGCTGTTCTCCCAGGGAAGGTGCATCCACCTGCAGCTGTGCATGGCAGAGGGTACAAAAACAGGACAGAGAAAAGTGCACAAAGAGAAAATCCCTTGTTTGTGACCCCTGAGCCTGCTGGGAACAGGATGCTTGAAAGTGCAGAGCCTCCTTGTTAAGAGACATTTTCCCTCTCATTAACGTGCCACTCAAGGTACCAGCAGATTCTTAGACATAAAGGCCCCATCCTGAATATTCCTGCCAGCCTTGGACCTTATTTTCAGGGCTCCTTTTGATGTGCCCTTTCCTTCTGTTGGCACATAATGGAAGAATATTGTATCAGGGACACTTAATTGTGCCTCTCAGAGGTGGGTGAGTGGTTTCCTAGCAGCAACACGGAGCAAAATAGGAAGAAGCATAAAGGCTTTATTGTGGGAACAAGGAGCCTGAACGAAAATTCGACAAAATAATTGTCTTCTGTGAAGGGAAACACACTTTTCATTAGTGGCACTTAAAGAAAAATGAGTCTCAGCGCTGCTGAGAATGTCCTGTACTTCCTTCCTCCTGCTTTGCACGGGGGAAGCGAAGCGGTGTTGGATCAATATTCAACATGCACACACATAAAATTTCTCCTAATTTTTAAGTTCCATGCTGGTTTAGAGGCAGATTGCAGCGTCTTGAGCATTAACATTAATGTTTCCCCCCTCCCTGCTCTTCAGCCTCGTGCTTATCAAGAAGCCTGAACACTCAAATATCTCTGTTTACCACAAGAGAATCTATTTCTTGATCCATTTTCCTCCAAGCCTACAACTAGAGATTATTTACTGAAGGGCTGGAATCTGCACAAAGAGACATCTTCACGTGGTTTGTCAACTATGAAAATTTCCCATAACTGGGAAACCAACTGTGGATAAAATGCACTGGATGCCCTCGCTGGAATCTCCAGGTGATGATTTCCCTCCAGAGATGCCAGAGCAGAAAAGCCAAAATTTCTGGAAATGGCTTTTTGACTGTGAATCCTGGTAAGAGTTTGATGCTCAATGCTCAAGCACCTCACAGTGGACTCTCCTTTCCACCCTCTCCACAAGCCCCAGGTCTCACAGTAACTCAGAGATGGACACTGGGATCTTTACTCCTTTTCCTGCATTTCTGACAGCCCAGTTTCCCACTGGAAACACCATCAGCCACCAGTCCAAGGCCATTTTCCCATTCCACGTGCTCTCCCTGCCCTCCAAGGCCTGGGGGAGCCCTGGGAGAGGAGGGGGACAGGCAGGACACAGCACCAGCAGCTCCTGGGCCACCAGCAAAGGCTCCACGTGGATGTGTTGGGAAGCGCTGCCGCAGCCACAATCTGATCCCAGGCATAATAGAGCCTTCCCTCGGCTTGCAAATAACTTCCTTATCTCCCACCAGCATATTTTCATGGGGAAACTTTAATCAGAGAATTCAAAAACCCTCCTGACTGCAGAGAAAGCACCTTGCAGCTATTTTTACATTTGATGTGCTGTGTTTTCCTGCCCTTCCTGATTAACACTCCTCGACTTGGACACCTCCTAAAAGCAACCTCTGAGCAGTGATTTACCTGCCATTTAGTGATTTACCTGCCCAGCTCTGCCAACACCAGGGCCTGGCATGGGATGCAAAAACAGTCCTTTCAGGAAATCACTGCAGCTTGTCAATATTTTTCCAACACAAAAGGATACAACCTCGTGTCGGGATTTTTACAGGGGTACCTAGTGATGGAACAAGGGGTGATGGCTTTACACCAAAAGAAGGCAGGGAGAGATGGGATATTGGGAAGGAATTGCTGGCTGGGAGGGTGGGCAGGCCCTGGTCCAGGTTGGGCAGAGAAGCTGTGGCTGCCCCTGGATCCCTGGAAGTGTCCAAGGCCAGGTTGGAGCAACCTGGGATAGTGGAAAGGTGTCCCTGGTCATGGCAAGGGGTGGATCTGGGTGATCCTTGAGATCCCTTCCAACCCATTCCATGATCCTATGGATCATGACCCCATGGATCCACGCTGCCTCTCAGCATCAGCGAGTGTGCAAACACGGGGATGTTTGTGTGTCAGGCTGGAAAGTACAACAACCACCCCCAGCACAGATGGGACTGCGGGCTCTGAACGCAGAGCAGCACAAAACATTGCTCACAAATGCACAGAAAGAGTGGGATCAGCAGATTATTAATGGGAAAGGAACGAGGGATGTGGCTCAGGGGAGGGGGAAAGCAGGAGCCCGGCTCTGCTGCCCGTCAGCCAACCCTTATCTGAACAATTCCCCTCTGGAAAGCTTTCCACTGAGCAGGAATGACTGATGGTCAGGAGTCACCCTGGCTGCATCAGACAGGATGATTTGCTCTCCCTGGCCTTTCCCAGCCTCCTGCTCCCCTCTCTCTCCTGCCTCGCCGGTAAATAGCGTTAAATCACAGCAAATTAAAACCCTGGGCCCAAAGCGCTCCTGCCATGAGCTGCTGCTCCATCAGATAAAGGACTGAGAGCTGCTCCACAGCCTCTCAACACGTTTTCTAATTTGTTTTTCGGGCATCTGGATGGTTTCAGTCTGTCATTCGTTCACCTCCACAACAAACTGTTTGGGGGACGACCCTCACGAGGGAGAGCCCAAAGGAACTCACCCCCACACATTTCCACACGCACGGAAAAGCAACACGTTGTGATCTGGTGATTGCACTGAGAGCTCGGGGCAGGGGGTTTTGTTATTTTCTCAGGCAACTCAGCCTCAATTTATTCATTCCTGCGCTTCAAATTATCTCCACCCGAAATGAGTTTACAGGTATCAGAGGTGTTTCATCTGCCAGATAACGCCGTGAAACCAAGTGTCAGAAACACCTTTTCCTTTGTACCTGTGTTGTCGAACCCTTTTCCCTAAGGAAGGCAGACTTATCCCTGTATTATTTTTCCCCTCCCATGCTTCCAGGAGTCTTTTCACTGGGAAGCTTTTTGTAGCCCCAACCATCACCCTCTTGCTTGAGGAAACAGGATGTTCACGCTCCACCTACGGACTCTCATCTTCATCCAAGAGGTCGGTGCTGCTCCCAGTAAATGCATTAAATGAATATCCAAGGATTTTCTACTGGATTGCCTCCACACTTGGAAGGAGGAACTCAAAGTCTTCAATGCCCACTCATTAATCACCTCCACCTCTTTCTTCCAGTGGCTGCAAACCACTGACACTCACAGCAGGTTTGCTGGTGACACCGAGGTGTGTGGTGGGGTCACAGCCTGCAGGGAGGGGATGGGGCATCCAGGGGCAGCTGGACAGGCTGGAGAGGGGGAATGTGGGAACTTCATGAAGTTCAACAGGGTCAAGTGCAGGTCCTGCACCTGGGTCAGGGCAATCCCAGCACAAGCACAGGCTGGGAGAATGGATGGAGAGCAGCCCTGAGGAGAAGGATTTGGGGGTGTTGGTGGGGGAGAGGCTGGAGATGCCCCAGCCCAGAACCCACCCCGTGCCCTGGGCTGATCCCCCAGCGTGGGCAGCAGGACAGGGGGGATTCTGCCCCTCTGCCCCCTCAGTGAGACCCCCCTGCAGAGCTGCCCCAGCCCTGGGAACAACAGCACAAGGACGTGGAGCTGCTGCAGAGAGTCCAGAGGAGGCCCCGGAGATGCTGCCAGGGCTGGAGCCCCTCTGCTCTGGAGCCAGGCTGGGAGAGCTGGGGGGGTTCCCCTGGAGAAGAGAAGGCTCCAGGGAGACCTGAGAGCCCCTGGCAGGGCCTAAAGGGGCTCCAGGAGAGCTGGAGAGGGACTGGGGACAAGGGATGGAGGGACAGCACACAGGGAATGGCTTTAGAGGGCAGGGTTGGATGAGATGTTGGGAAGGAATTGCTGGCTGGGAGGGTGGGGAGGCCCTGGCCCAGGTTGGGCAGAGAAGCTGTGGCTGCCCCTGGATCCCTGGAAGTGTCCAAGGCCAGGTTGGAGCAACCTGTGCTAGTGGAAGGTGTCCCTGCCCATGGTAGGGGGTGGAATGAGATGACCTTTAGGATCCCTTCCAACACCCACCATCCTCTGATTCTGTGACTAAGGCTGAGCAAGAAGCCCCTTCCCTCACATCTCCTCTCACGCCACAACACTAAAAAATCCACAGCAGTTCCAAAGCATGTCACAAGGCTGAAGGGTAAAATTCCAAGTCCTACACGTTCATTTCTCAATATTAACTGTACTGGGCTTTCAAGGAACATTTTTTTTTCCCCCGCTCTATTAACTGGATCTCACACAACCGAAAACAGTTCCTTGTGCCAGAGAGTCCCAAAACACTCGACAAACTCGAAATGCAATTTTAACAGGGTTCTCCTAATCCTCCACTGAAAGGCAGCCAAGTCCTCAGCCGAAACACGGGGGCAGCCTTTGTGAAGCAGACAATTGAGGGCCATCAACACACGCCACATTTACCACATGGAACGGAAGGTGGGACTCAGATAAGCAGAAATCCGTTGGAGACACTGGGATGAACACCCCTTCCTTCCCCAAAACAGGCTCATCAAACCCTACAACACGGCCCCTTTTTTGGCTGTGGTCACTTCAGGTTTACAGAGGAGGGTGAAGAAATCATCATCACGAGCGACAAAAGGAATTTCATCCGGCTTTGATTTGAAGAGACGAGGACTGAGCCTCGATGGCAGGAGAGGAAACATGAATTACGAGGCTGTGATTTGAGTTGAGACAAAAGAGGAAGATTTCATAAAGGTTTCAACATAAATAAAATAAATTCTAGATCTTCGTTTGCTTTTCGACTTTCGGGGCTTCTTTCACCCCAGTTTGAAAACAAAACATGATATTCCAAAGCACCAGAAATCTTGGCCACCAGAAATCTTGGCCACCAGAAATCTTGGCCACCAGAAATCTTGGCCATCAGAAATCTTGGCCACCAGAAATCTAAGAGGGGTAAAAAAATGAATGATATTTCTTTAAGAGAAGTTAAAAATTTCTGGTGTGGGGCTGTAAGGAGACAACACTTCAGAATAAACCAATTCTGTAAACCCTCATTTGCATTTTGATAAAGATTTCACCATATATAAAATAACTTCTAAATCTTCATTTGCTTTTAGACTCTTTCACCCCAGTTTGAAAAAAAAAAAATGCAGTATTCCAAAGCAGTAGAAATCTTGTTCACCAGAAATCTTGGCCACTTTTACCCAAGAGGGTAAAAAATGACTGATTTCTTTAAGAGAAGTTAAAAATTTCTGGTGTGGGGCTGCAAGGAGACAACATGAATCACGGGGCTGTAATTTGAGTTGAGACAAAAGAGGAAGGAGCAGAGAGTGGGAGAACATCAAAGGGCTCAGGGCAGGGCACATCTGAGGCAGCACTTACGCTGACACGTCCCCCCGTTGGTGGGATCCCCGTAGTAGCCAGAAATGCAAGTCTCACAGTGTTTGCCTGTTGTCAGGTTCTCACATTTCTCACAGATGCTCTCATTGACACACTTGCTGTGCCCATTACACTGGCAGGCTGGAAAAAAAAAAAAAAAACATAAAAAAACAGGAAAAATGATGAGTATTCGTGCTCCAATTTAGTTTTTGTGCTCAAATTGACCCTCAGGGGAGCGATGTTGTGCAGAGGATGAATTTAAACCTTTTCCTGCACCTTCCAGAGAGGTTCTTGCAGCAGTCTCACTAATCACACACAAGCTCAAAGAGAGGGTGGGGGTACTGAAAATCTGGAATTAAAAGCAATAGGTGGACAACTGATTAGGGGCACGTTGGGGTGGAAGCTGCTGGTGGGATGGATTACAAGGAATGGGGAGGGGAGTGTTTAGCAACAGCACAAGTGATTTTTTCTATAGGTTTTGTGTCAGGAACATGAGTTAAAAAGTGCCCTGAGCATTATTCAGAAAGAGTTACACCAACCTTCAAAGGCCTTTCTCTCAAACAGAAATGCCGCTCCTGCTTCATTTATTCAAAAATGAATTAACAAACAAAAGCGAAAACCTCAGTCAAGGTTCGCAGGGAGAGGCGAAACGAGCAAGTTAAACCTTCCTGCAGCTTCCACCTCCAGCTGTAACTCCTCTCCTCCTCCCTCCGCCAACAGGAGGCAACACAGACCCGACAAACCCCCCTCCTCCTCGCATTCCACTGCAGCGTTGGCCGGTAAAACTCTGCCCATTTACCTGGGCACTGGATGAAGGCCCAGCTGTAGCTGCTCTCCACGGGGCACATGCTGACGTTGAGGACGGGCTCCAGGCTCTGCTTCCCCGCCGGGGACGGGCTGGGCATCCTGACGGGGCCCCGGGAAGAGCCCTCCATGCACTTGCCCTTGCCGGTGTTGGTGGGGTCCGTGCACCACCCGCAGCCAGGCTGCTCCAGGCAGTGGGCACACGTGCAGTAGCCCGAGCAGTTCTCAGCTGGAAAAACAACCCCAAAATTAGGGAAGGAATCACCCCCTCCACCAGGCGACAGCGAAGGCGGAAACTCCCGTGCGGCTTTCGTGACCTCGGTATTTACCTCTCCAAATCCGCCCACCTTTATCCTGATACTCCCAGGAATATTTATCTGTATCTAAAAACATATTTAATCCAGGATCTCAGCTAACACGGGTTGCACTAATCAGTGAGTGATGAAACAGCCTGAAGCATTACACAGCACCCACTTAAAACCAGAGGTGAATGTTCCCTCTCCAAAGCATCTCCCGTTGATTTACGAGGGATCAGATGATAAGAGGAGCCATCTGGAAGCAAAGGCTGAAAAACCAGCCTGTTTTTACCCACTCTGAGTCCCTTCCTAGCACATGTTTTAGTGTCACATGCTATTACTGTGAGCACTTGCCCGAGTCAAAAAGCATAAAAACACAAATCCAGAATGAAGTTCCGCCCTTTAACCCTCCCTTTCTCCAGTGGAGATTGGATTTCAGGGGTGACAAAACTCCTCACACGCAGAAAACTTCCCCTATTCCTTTGCCCAGGTCACCTTAAAAAATAATTCTGTAGATTCCTGGTGCTGCAAGACGAGCAGACTTTCTGTCTTTCTGTTTAAATGGACAAGATTTGCCTTTAAAATAGGACAAAAAAAATGTAGTAGAAAAAGGTTGTTTTCCATTATTTCAGCTTACTCATCTCCTGCCTGATGCTTCCTCCAACTTTTGACCTCTGGCAATAAGGGAAGTTCACCACTCTCATGTTTGACTCTTCCTGAAACCCATTTTCTTCATCCCTTATATTTTGCAACACTTTTGAGTTGTTTGCTCCTAAAGATTTCAACATCAATAAAATAGCTTCCACATCCTCATTTGTTATAGATTTCTGGGGCTCTTTTGCACCAGTTTGAAAAAATAAAAAATGCAATATTCCAAATCTTGGTCACCAGAAATCTTGGCCACTACCTAAAATGGGTAAAAAATGAATCATTTCTGTCAAGAGAAATTAAAAATTTCTGGTGTGGGGCTGTAAGGAGACAACACTTCAGAATAAAACTCTTCAGTAAACCCTAATTTGGATTTTCATAAAGATTTCAACATAAACAAAACCAATTTCTAAATCTTCATTTGCTTTTAGACTCTTTCACCCCAGTTTGAAAAAAAAATTGCAATATTCCAAAGCAGTAGAAATCTTGGCCACTTCTACCTAAAATGGGTAAAAACTGAATGATTTCTTTAGGAGAAGTTAAAAATTTCTGGCGTGGGGCTGTAAGGAGACAACACTTCAGAATAAAACTCTTCTATAAACCCTAATTCATTAATTTCAGATTTTTTGGGGGGCTCTTTCACCCTAGTTTGAAAAAAAAACCCTGCAATATTCCAAAGCACCAGAAATCTTGGCCACTTTTATCTAAGAGGGGTAAAAAAGGAATGATTTCTTTAAGAGAAGTTAAAAATTTCTGGTGTGGGGCTGTAAGGAGACAACAGTTCAGAACAAAGCACTTGTGTAAATCCTGATTTGGATCTTCATAGAGATTTCAACATAAATAACTTCTAAATCTTCAGAGTTTTTAGGGTCTCTTTCACCCCAGTTCGAAAAAGAAGTGCAATATTCCAAAGCACCAGAAATCTTGGCCACCAGAAATCTTGGCCACTTTATCTAAGAGGGGTAAGAAATGACTCCTTTAAGAGAAGTTACAAATTTCTGGCATGGGGCTGCAAGGAGAGACCACACTTCAGAACCAACCCCTTCTGCAAAGGGTTTGACAAAGCCAAAAAATGAACTCACAGAAGGCTGGGGGGACCTCAGAAATCCCGCAGCGCCAACCCCCTCCACGGGCAGCCAACCTGCCCCTCGTCCAGGCTGCTCCAAGCCCACCCAACCCTCGTTTCGGGGAATTTTAAGCCCAACCCGACGACTTTTCCCACTGGAACACCCTCCCCTTTTTCCCTCCCAGCGGTGACTCACGGGGGCAGCTGCTCATGGTGTACCACTCCATGCACTGTCCGTAGGGGAAGGAGGCCACGTAGGCGTTGGAGTCCACGCACTGCCTCATGTTGCTGCACCACATGCACTCGGAGCTGCCGCTCGTGCACTCCCCGCACGCCGAGCGCAGGGCGCAGGGCGTGCGGCACTGCTTGGCACTGTGGTTGGCTGGGGATGGGGGGGGATAAACACACAGGGTCAGCCAGGAGTTGCTTCCCAATGTCCCATCTGGCAGCGGGATGACATTCTCCCTAGTCCTGTCCCTCCCCGTGCCTTGTCCCCGGTCCCTCTCCGGCTCTCCCGGAGCCCCTTTAGGTGCTGTGATGGCTCCACTCAGCCTTCTCCTCTCCAGGCTGAGCAGCTGCAGCTCTCTCCTCCTGTCTCCACAGGGAGGATGCTCCAGTTCCCTCATCAGATTTGTGGTGTCCCCTGGACATGCTCCAACAGTCCCATGTCCTTCTTCCATTGGGGGCACCATTGCATGAACCATCGAATCACAGAACGGTTTGGGCCGGAAGGGACCTTAAAGATCATCTCATTCCACCCCTCTGTGCCACGGGCAGGGACACCTCCCAGCATCCCAGATTGCTCCATGCCTCATCCAGCCTGGCCTTGGACACTCCCAGGGATCCAGGGGCAGCCCTGGAAATGGTGTTAGGAGTGCTGGCTTTCTCTCTCGGCAGGCCTGTTGATGTTTCCCCAGTGAAGGGTTGGGAAGAACCCCAACATTTTACATGAGCACACTGGGACCTGCTCTAAGTGATGTGATCAGTTCCCCACATCAAACAAGCCCTGAAAGCAGAACTAACTCAGGAGTTTTTAGTGTGAGCCAGCACTTTATCATCTGTTTCAAGTGACTGTTCTCAGACCACAAAAACCAAGTTAAAGCTTAAATCAAAGTACTTCGAGTGAAAACACACAGGATTTGGAGTTCAGGTTCACATTTAGGATCTGCATCCTGCACTTCCATAAAGAATCATTTCAAGTGCTTCTCACTTAAAAAATTTTATGTAATCACCCAGCTTTCTTAATACTTAAAAAGAGGCACTAATTGGTATTCAGAAATAATCAGCTATAATGGAGAATGAGCAGACCAAGCCATCTGAAAAGATATGCAGTTCCAACAAAGCTGCAAGACTTTTCCCAAAAGCAAATAGCTTCTTTCTTTTTTTTTTTTTTTTTTTTCCCCAAGTTCTCCTATCTCCAAAATGTCCTGCTCAATTAATTTCAAACTTTGATAAAATCCTCCTCTGGCTACGGAGCCGGGGAGGGGAGAAAGGGGAGTTCAATCAGAAAGTAGCTTTTATTTCTTCATTTTATTCTTTCCTTTTTTTTTTTTTATTATTATTATTTTCAAACAGGAGATTGCTCCACACCGTAATTAACCTAAATGTCACATCCAGGTATGCAAGGGAGAGAAAAAATAATTAAAATCATGTACTTCAAGTATTTTACAGTTGCGGGCGTAAATGCCGAGCTATTTTTAAAACCCTCCACATCCTGAGCAACAACACAGGACCACTTTGCTTCGGCAGAGCCAGGATGCAGCTGGTTTAAAATGTGATAAACTGGAGGGGTTTTTTTAATATAAATCCACTGGGTGCCCCCTTTTATCCCCCCCACCCCCAAGGGAGGTGTTTTTACCCGGCCTTTCGCAGATGCTGCCGTTGAGCTCGTCGATGCACGTCGCTGCCTTCAACCCCTGCTGGGAGGGCTCAGCCAAATAGACACAAAATCCAGCATCACTGGGCTCCTGGGGAAGCCACTGCACCAGGGTGTCGGTGAAAGGGGACATGTCTTCCCAGCACCAGTAGGACACGTTGATTTTCCTCAGCCCGACCCAGGGAGTCAAAGTTTTGGGCTGGAAAACAAAGGAGCAGGTGGAATCTGAATTAGGGTGTCAACACTGATTAGTAGATACAACTTCTCGTGAATGTTTAATGTGAAAGATCCCACAGCACCAAGTGTTTCTGCTGGCAGGTTAATTTTTGGCACGCTTCTGTTTTGGGGAGGGGCGTTTTTAGCTCTGTTGGTACAATGTGTTATTTTACTGCTGAACGACACAAAAATGACTTACTTTAAAATGATTTTAGGCACTTTTAAACCTTAGAGCTGCAGGTACTGGCTGCAACAGGGTTACACAGCACATTGTGCCAGCACCAGCAGGTTTTCTTGTTATTACAGAACACTTTTAAAAAGGAGTAACTTAAACCAGGAGTTTTAAGGCAGAGCCTCCCCCAGCACAGCCATCGATGCTCTGCTTTTTTTTGATGTCATTGACACCTTTTTCTATTCTTCAGTGATTTAGGCCCTCTCTTCCTTGTTAACTCTCATGAGATTCCCCTGGGCTCTCTCTTCCCCACTTTGTCCAAGTCCCTCTGGATGGCGTCCCGTCCCTCAGGAGTGTCACCCACACACTCAGCTTGGAAGGGACATTAAAGAAGATCCAGTCCCATCCCCTGCCATGGGCAGGGACACCTTCCACTAGCACAGGTTGCTCCAGCCTGGCCTTGGACACTTCCAGGGATCCAGGGGCAGCCACAGCTTCTCTGGGAAGTTCATTCCAGGGCCTCCCCACCCTCCCAGCCAGCAATTCCTTCCCAATATCCCATCTCTCCCTGCCCTCTGGCAGTGGGAAGCCATTCCCTGTGTGCTGTCCCTCCATGCCTTGTCCCCAGTCCCTCTCCAGCTCTCCTGGAGCCCCTTTAGGCCCTGCCAGGGGCTCTCAGGTCTCCCTGGAGCCTTCTCTTCTCCAGGGGAACCCCCCCAGCTCTCCCAGCCTGGCTCCAGAGCAGAGGGGCTCCAGCCCTGGCAGCATCTCCGGGGCCTCCTCTGGACTCTCTGCAGCAGCTCCACGTCCTTGTGCTGTTGTTCCCAGGGCTGGGGCAGCTCTGCAGGGGGGTCTCACTGAGGGGGCAGAGGGGCAGAATCTCCCCCTGTCCTGCTGCCCACGCTGGGGGATCAGCCCAGGATCCAGTTTCCCACATGACAAGCATTCCATAGCGATATCCCCTAAAACAGGCTCGTAGTCTCCTTAGACTCACTTTTCAAAGGACACCATAAATAAGAAAAAAACCCTGTAAATTAATGATTTTTTTCTCCCCAGTGTTTGGATTTAAACACTGTTAGGGAACTGCTGCCATGTTTCTTTAGGAATTAACTCTACACTTGACTAGTGGGATATCCAGAAACACCTGGAGCTGTCACAACCAGGTACTTTTACAACATCCCAGGCTTGGTTTCCTCTTTACAAAAGATTTAACAAACAATCCTGCTTAAATTACACTTTACCTTCCCTTGGCTAAATTGACTCCACTCTAAAACACTGTAATTGCTGAAATTCCACTTCAAAATTACAAAGGGAATCAAAGCAGGGAATGTTCTTATTTCGACAGGGGAATACTTCTCTTAAGTACTGAGGAACTTTGCAGGTTCTCCCCTGCAAAGCAGCAATCCCACTGCCTCCAGCCTCATTTTTCCTGGATAAAACTCTTCCCAGAGTGCCCTCTGGGACCCAGGAGTCGTTACTCTGACGTGCCATGAAGTCCCAGCAGTTTTCCAGCCTAAGCCAGGATTTTAGGGACGCTGCCCAGCGTCGTTCTCCGTCAGGGCTGTAGCACCACCTACACAACCTGCCCTGAACATTCCCTGCTTCCCCCCAAGGACTGCAAAAATACATGTATTTATTTTATTGATGCATGGAGAGGGACAGATTCCAATTCACTTCTCCCTGGCTCCCACAAAAAAAGCGCACCTGCCCCCCTGAATGCCACGTAAATAACTCCAAATGAGCCAAGCACGAGGAGGTGACATTTTAAACAGCTGCTGTTCTGGGTGGAATAAATAAGTTGCAGTGCTTTGCATTAAACACCTCCAGTGCCCCACACTGGGACCCTGATTTATAAAATATTGTGTACAAGTCAGGAGAGGGCTCTCCTGCTGCAGCCCTGGATGCCCCCAGGGAAGCACGGGGGTGATTCCATTACAGAAAGCGATCCCTCTGAGGCACCGAGTGTGCTTCTGTTTATCTTTCCCATTTACATTCCCTGCAACCTCGGCTCAGAATCACCCAGAGGGTGCATTGAATTTCAAAAGGAAATCAGTCCTTTCGGGTTAAGAGGCATTTGTGTTGTGTACAGAGCACACAATACCCCGGTAAGGACTTCTCTTAATTACTCAGGGGGCGGCAGAAAAAAAAGCACTCACCGAGGACTGGATCTTCTGCAGCTCCTTCAGGACAAAATCCACCTTCTTCTGGGTGGTGAGGGAAGCCAGCACAGCACCACTGGATCTGCAGGACAGCTTGGCATGGTCGTAGGTCTCCTTGGCATTGGTGATCTTCAGGCAGGAGTTGCCCACCAAGTGCCAGTTTGTTCCACAGATGTTTTCTGGGGAAGGGAGGGAAAGAGAGAGTAAAGCCAGAGACACAGGTGACCTTCAGGGTGTTCAAAGGAGGCAAAGAACAGGGCAGTGTTGGGAGTCCCCATCCCTGGAAGTGTCCAGGAAAATGGAGTGCAAGTGGCCCTTCCTGCTGCGGTTCAGTGGGATGGTGGGATTGGGTCAAAGGTTGGACCTGATAATGATCTTGGAGGTATTTTAATGATTCCATGAACCCCTTCTACTAAAATCAAACCTACAGTCCCACCCCAAACCAGTCTGACTTACTGGTGTGCCCAGAACTAGTGATGAGCATTGATTTTCCTCCCCAGCATGAGGGTTTCAACACTCTTAGGGAAGGGGTTTTTAGGAATTTACTCTACACCTCATTAGTGGGATATCTAATGTATTACCCTGTTATTATCCAGCAATATTCCCCTGTTAAATCCTAATATTGGAGAAGAAAAGCTGTACAGGGGGGCTGAAGTCTGACAGCAGCACTGAGTTACCTGCAGTGTGGAATCAAAGCACTCTGTACGATGTTGAAGAGTAAAATCGTTGTAGGAGAAAGCGGAAAAGAAACCAAACCAGTATTTTGTTGGTGCCTGAAAGCCACTTATTCACCCACAGTTTCCAGGGGACCTTTTGGCAGGAGAGGGTTGTTGTGTTAAATCCTTTCCCTGGCATGAACTTCCAGGATTAATCCCTGGTTCATCTTGAGCACAATCCCACTCCTGAAGAATTCCTCACGCTCCATGGTTCGTTATTTCCCGTACAAAAAAACCCTGGTGGGCCTTTCCAGTGTGAATTTAGACTTTAACAGATTGAAAAGCTCTCAAGTGTCAGTTTTTCAGATGGGCTTTTTACACCCATGATCGAGTCACCCCCTCTCCTACATCAAATTAAACACACCAAGCTCTTGATCTACCTCATTAAAAGATGTTTTTCTCACTCTCATGGCTCTCATCCAAAGTCTCCTCAATTTTTAACTCTTCCAGACTGGCAAAACCAGACCTGGACACGTCCAAGCTTATCAAGAGTTCCTGGGGCAGGGCTTTCCATGCCCATTAAAATATCCTGTCTGGTGGGGTTTTTTCCCCTTTCTCTAGATTTTATTACCTGCAAATGTTAATCACTGAAGATCCTGCATTTTTTTCCCTCCAGTCATTGGGATAAAAAAAAAGCTACTCCAAGGGGACTAATAACCAGCTCCTGTGAGCTCCACTGGAAGCACTTTAATAGGAGAATTTTCCTAAAACACTTCAGGTGTTACTTGCCTAATTTGTCCAGCATGTGCCATTATGCTTTTGCACAAATTTAGTTCCCCAAATTAAATAGCATGCATTATTAACTCTAATATCTTGCAGGAGCCTATTATCAACAGCTTTTATCAAATGGAAAAGGGAGAGATGAAATACAGCCTAATAATTACACAAATGATCACAGCCCTCTTCAGACAATTGGGAAAATGAAAAATATTCCAGCAGACTTGATGGATTGGCCAGAAATTAAGTTTCATGCCAGAGCTGCTATGATTAAACAACATTATTTACTCCAGCCTAGCACTAAAAAATATAGATTTGGGGGGCGAAAAAAAATAAAAATGAACTGAAAAAAAACCCTCAAGAACTTGAATTTGGTTTTTGTTTTTTTCTTACATGAATATAACCAGTACCCACCTGGCAAAGCGATGCACTCCTGATTCCTGGGCTCCCACTGGCAGTTTTGATCCATGGCACAGCTTTTACAGCTTGTCTTTTTGTTACAGTAATAAGCAGGATTATCCTTGGGACAATTCTCATAGAGGGTAATAGGAACCTAAAAGGAACAGCAACATATATGTATTTTTGGTATTTCTAGATCCAAAAGCTGCAGGGCTGGGTATCCCAGACGTTCCCCCAAGCCACCACCTGACAGGTTTTCCTCCCTAGAGCTTCTACAAGAAGGTTGATTCGTTATTTTTTAGGGGAAGCACTGCTGGTATCAAACCCAAACTGTGATTATGGATTAATCACCCCATTGTGATTCACAGCAGGGAAACCTCCGCCCCTCCCTGTGCCCACAGCCCTCCTAAATCCATTGGGAAAATCCCACGAGAATCCCTTGGATCAACTTGGGAGAAATGCCAGCATGTAGCACTTTAGAGCTAAGGAATGAGAAAACAGGGATCATAACACTGATGGATGAAAACCTGGGGGGCACTGGCAATTCCACAGGGGGAATTCAAAGCAAGGAACATTCAGATTCCATTACCTGCTCCTCGGTGCAGTTGCTGTGTGCTGGGATGCACTGGTCAGAGCACCACTGACAGCTGTTGGTGTTGGCTGTACAGCTGTAGCAGTCTGTAATCTGATCACATTTTTCATTGTCTACAGCTAGTAAAGAAAAAAACCTGCATGACCAAAAAGAGGCATTTCCTGACAGAGCTCTAAGAACTTGGTTATTTGCAGCCAAAGATACAACCAAAGAGCGGTGCATCCGCTATTAGCAACTAAAATCAGGGACTTCCATGGGTTTGGAGTGATGGAAAATTGCATTGATTGACATTTTTGGTGTCCAGGGAGCCCTAAAACACACCAGGAAATGCAGCAAGACACGAATGAAAACATGGATGTTCAGACATTCCACAAGGACAAGTGATCATTTCCCACCATCTTCCTGCAAGCCTGGCCTTCAAGCAGAGCATTTCCATGCCAAGCTTGAACTTTTCATTCTCTTGCCAATTATTTGTTGCCTGTGGTTTGTGAAAATCTATTGTACACTGAGAGCCCAGCAAAGCAATGCCCCCTCACATCAGCTTCTATGAAATAATTAAAGGATGACAATCTATTATAGAACCAAGGGCTGCACAATTCAATTCAGAGCAATGAATGCATCGGGATCAAGTTGGTTTAGAATTATCCTGAGGGAAAACACAGGAATCAGACCTTGAAACATTCATTCATTTTGCCCCTACACACATGATCCCAGAAGGGTTTGGGCTGGAAGGGACCTTAAAGATCATGTCAAAAAATAAAGGAACTTTAGTCCTAAAGTTACTCCTGAAGTTATTCCTGCTGCCTCTCTTGAAGAGCACAGGACAACTCCACCAGACCCAGATCCCTTTCCTTGCCCCGTGGTGCTGCATCAGGGAATTGCTGGATCTCAAAAGGTCAGTTCTTGGAGCAAATATCTACAGTGACGGCCCAGGCCTGATTCCTGGATGATGATGGAAAACAGCAAGTCCAAACAGCAAGAGAGGAGAAAGCTTTCATGAACAGCTTCAGGAACGAGACACGGAAACACCTCCGGGACACCCGGTCAGGGGAAGGACTTCCCGGGCACTTACGGTGACCCCAGAACGGCACACAACCTCCACATGGCAGGCCTTGGAAAGGGAAAACAACCCTCCAGGCCTCTGGGAAAAGGGGGATGGAAGGCACGTGGCACATACCTGGCTTGGGAGGACAGTCTTCCAAGACCTTCTGCTGCTGCTCCAGGGTGGCGTTTTCCCAGGGGACGCAGCGGGCGGGTTTGGGAGCCCACACGCACCTGACGCCCGGCCCCGCCCGCAGGCAGGACGACTCGTTGGCGAAAGCCTCGCATCTCTCAGGGGTGAACTTCAGGATGTCGCTCAGCAGGAGGCTGTTGAAGCCTCCAAAGACGTACATGGTGCTGGAGGAGAGGGAAGGGGGAGAGAGAGGAGGGACTCGCGGGTGTTCCCGCGCGTCGAGCGCGCCGCCGCTCCGGGTGACCGGGATTTAAGGTCTGAGGGAGGTGTTTTATTACATCCCAGAGTGTGTAAATCCACAGAAATAGCTCTTGGTTAAGGGAGGCACTAAAGAAAAGGTCAGTGAAATTTCACTGTTTCGGGGAAGCCAGAGAATCTCAACAGGCTCAAACTCACCCAAGGTCATGGACCGACCTTCCCCTCCAGCCGAAAACTCTGGGAGGCACCTGACCCACCTGATGAGACCCAAAATTTGGGATCTTCCTGTGATTTGCAGTGGGCAAGTGAGAGGGAGGAAGGCTGAAACTCTGGGAGATGGTATCACACCATTAAAGCAGAGTCCAGGAACTGGGACAAAACAATTTGGTGCTGTCGCTGTCGCTGCTCCGCTGGCACAAAACCAGTTTGCATGGCTGGTACCAACCAAGCAGAGTCACTGTGTCAACTAAAAAAAACCCCAAAACAACAGAATGCTTTATGTAGGAGAAGGGGTGAGGTTTTTAAACCATCTTCAGGATCACAACTGCCTCAGGCAAAACATCAGGTTTTACGGGTTACATAAAAACGTCACTCCAAAAACTCCCTGTGAATCCAAGTTTGTCAGGGCACAGGTAAAAAGGCAGTGCAGAAAGGATCAAGGCCAGCTCTGGTTGAATAATGAGTACTTTTTAATATGATTTTCATCCTATTTTAGGACTCCTGTGGAATAAAATTTCTCACAGTTTGTTCCACAGCCAGAAAGAAAGCAGGGATATCACTACAGTGGGTAAAGCTTTAAAGCTGGAACCTCACCTAGGATTTTCGCCAAATACTGGACATCACATGGCTGGGAAAGAAGGGCCCCACAGCATAAAGGTGTGTAAACTGACAGGAGAAAGTTTGTAAACTGAAACACGGACAAAGTGAGATACCACGAGGTAAACGGAGGTTTGGAGACAGATGCACTGACAACTCCAAAGCAAGAATTGTGAAATAAACTGGAATGAACAACTATGAAATACAGAAGAAACAGAAAGAAAGAAGAAATAGGAATATACATAAAAGCAGGAGAAAGGAACAGATATATGAAGAAAGAAATCAAGGTACTGAATGAGGTAAGTGGGCTGAGACAGTTTAGTGAGTTGAGAGAGTCTAGTCCCGTGAAGGGCTGATGGGCACAGGTGGATACTGAAGACATTACAAAAGTGAAGAGCTGAGAACTTTCAGAGGTTCAGAGAATCACAGGATGGTTTGGGTTGGAAGGGACCTCAAAGACCCTCCAGTTCCACTCCCCTGCCATGGGCAGGGACACCTTCCATCAGCCCAGGTTGCTCCAAGCCCTGTCCAAGTGTCCAAGCAAGTGGCCTTGGACACTTCCAGGGATCCAGGGGCAGCCCCAGCCTCCCTGGAGAAGGAGGTTTGTGCCAGATCCTCCCCCCTCTGGTCTCAGCATCACTGAGCTCCCCGTGGGGGGGTGTTTAGTGAGGTGTGAGTGTCTCTGTCCTTACCTGTTGTACAGCACAGCCGAGTGTCCAAACCTGTTCACGTCGTGGTGGAGCCCCGGGCGGGGAAGGACCGACCACCGATCACACGCTGGGAGGGAAAACACTCCTTTCAGAAGCACTCTCAGGATAAGGAACGGGACAATTACACAGCACAATCCTTCCTGGAAAATCCCGAAGTACCTGGGATCTTCCAACCAAGACACTGAGGGGCTGGAGCGTGTGCAGGGAAGGGAACGGAGCTGGGAAGGGGCTGGAGCAGCAGGAGGGGCTGAGGGAGCTGGGGGGGCTCAGCCTGGAGAAAAGGAGGCTCAGGGGGGACCTTCTGGCTCTGCAACTCCCTGACAGGAGGGGGGAGCCAAGAGGGGCTTGGTCTCATTTTCCTGGGCTCTTATCCCAAGGAACAGGACAAGAGGAAGCTGCTTCCCTCCTTTACCAGTGGGATTTTTTTTCCCCGTGTAACAAGTTCAGTTTTCATCTGTTTACACGTGAATTATTTGCAGTTTTGCCCCAAACCAGCATCACTGAGAACAGAGGCTTATCTTTCTTTTTATTTCCATTGCAATTATGTTCCTAGAGGGCAGATACCCATGTTTTTAAAAACATTTCTCACTCATCGTAGCTCAGGGACTCGTGGCTGTTTTCCTCTTTTAACACAACGTGAGATTATTCCATCTTTTTTTTTCTCCTATTAGCATAACATTTGTAAGTTCTGCTTCGTTTTTTTTACTTGGCTTCTCAGGTAATTTTTTTCCTTTGGGCAGTGTGTGGGGGGAAAAAGAAGAAAAACAAGCTAAGAAACATCCAACCCACTGAGCAAAGGAACAAAGGCAGGGAAAGTCAGTCCAACTCATGTCACTTCAACTTCAGAAAGGGAATGGGAATCACCTTGGGGACCAACATCCCAGAGGCACTTGGATGCAATTTATGCAATTAAGAGAGAAAAGTCAATCTGCTGTAAAGATCCACAGAGCCCTCAAATCCTCCACGATTCTTTAGCACAGGATAAAACTGCTGTGCCATGGACTGAACCTCAGGGGAAAGGAAGAAATAAAAAAGGCCCACAAACCAAACTAGTCCATGAGGGCAAAGAAGAACAATCTTATTCATTTTTTACCTAATTTAATTGGAGAACTGTCGGATAAAACAACAGATCCGCGGCAATTTGGTCCAAAAGTGCTGATAAATAAAAGACAAAGAGCCCTGCTGGATTTCATCCTTTGATAGAGTGGGATTTTGAAGTTTATTTTTACAGGTCATCTGCTCGATTTCCCAAGAATTTACCCTATCCCAGCACCATCCCCGAGCCAAGAATGCACCATTCCAATTTTTTAGCGGGAGACTTCAGCAAAACTGGAAGGCAATTTGCAATTTTTCAGCCATCAAGTCGTGTGTTATGTGAGGCCAAGAAACATATTTTTCTGGATTAATATAAAGCCTGGAATGTTTTGCTTTCTAAGCTCCTTTCCCATCCTTAACTCAAGATCAGGTATTGGAAAAAATGAGTAATTCTGAGACTACAAAAGAATCTTCTCCTTCCTGATTTAGGAGTTAAGCCAAGCCTAAGACTGACAATGGCCAGGATTTATTGAAGGTGCTGTTCAAACAGAACACATCTGCTATGAAAACATTCTCTTCCCATCTTTGTGATCCAAATCTGAATTTTTTTGGGGGGGTAAATGGAAGAGTTTTAATTTTCCCTCTGCGGGGAGAAAAGATCTTTACACGAGGAGAGCTTGACATGAATAGGAGAGGATTAAACGGGGCATTTTTGCCACTTAAAGCTGTTGCAGAGCAGGAGATTCTTTGGCAAAGGCCAAAAAGCCCCATTTTGGGGATGGGAAGAGTTAATTTGCAGAAAAACCCTGTGAGATTCAACAGGAATGGCACAAGCACACAGACAGCTGGGTTGTTGTCCTGAAACCTTCCCAAACCTGGACAGTTTGGATTGGATTCACCCCACCCTGGTCAAGTGGAGGGTAAAGGATAAGAAAGCACCAATGAATTCTCAGATCTCCCCAACTCCTAAAGCCCAGCACACATTTCTGACATCAGCTGGCACTCCCCCTCCCAAAAAAAAACATTTTATGTCCTCAGAACACTCCTCATTCCTTGGAAATTTGAGGAGGGAAAGCTGCAAAAAATTGATGATGTAAATAAAATTAGATCGTTCCAAAATGGCTTTTAATGGTAAAGGTTAAGGAGAGCTGGGTCTGAAGCCTTTGTTTTAGACTGGGTTTAATTCCAGTGTTCTCCAGCCTTCCAAGCATCAGTATGATCACTAATTAACCTAATCACTAATCAATCAGGATCATTAATCAACAGGATGCAAAAGGGGAGCAAACCAGCCAGCCAGATTATTACAAAAGTGGGGAATAAAGACAATGATTAAGCCTCTTGGAAAAAACTGACCTGGCTCAGTTTTCCTCTGGGAATATCAAGGGACAGATAACAGGGGGTTTACATGGACTTATTTCCATGGAGACCAACGTGAATATGAACCAAGATAATTAATTACTGCAGAGATCCTGCAGGAAGAACCACCAAGAAGGTGTTTCTGCTGTGACACCAATGATCAGCCACCACCCTGAGGTGTTCCTGGCACTGCTCCCAGCCAAATGAGATAAGGGCAATCAGGCACAGGGGGTCCTGCCATGAAGGGAACAGAAAAAGTGGTCTGTTATCTGAATAAAAAGCTGCTCTTTTTGGGTTGAGAGTCTCTTGCCTCAAGAATGAGGGGACCCAAAAACATGTCTCACCCCACCATGGAAAATTAAATCAGTGCAAGCTCTAAATTTCAGTGTAAACCTGAAAATTAACTGCACTCCTTATTTCATGTCACAGGAACCTGCCTGGTAACTACAACGAGTCAAAATGAACATCACTGTTGGCACATTTTGTCAAATTAATGCAAATTGAGCTTTAAATCTGACAGGCAGTTCAATAGGTCAGGGCAGGCAGCAGAATGCAGCAGGGAAAATCAATCACTGTGGCAATCAAAGTTTAAAAAATTAAACTGTTGACGACTGTCACTGAACCGTGGAATGGTTTGGGTTGGAAGGGACCTCAAAGAGCATCTTGTTCCACTCCCTGCCTGGGCAGGGACACCTTCCACCAGCCCAGGTTGCTCCAAGCCCCATCCAACCTGGTGAAATATCTCATTTTAATTCTCCAAGTTAAAAAAAAAAAAAAACCACACATCAAAATAAAGCCAGTCACGAAAATTCCACAGGAACACGATGTGAAATCCCAGCAGGGAATGATCCCTGTAACGAAGGGGGAAAATGGCACAAGGATGTCCAACCCTGCTGATCCAAGGGGTTGGCTCAGCTGTGTTTTCCTCTCACAAACCAGGAGGGAGATCTCAGTGGACAGTCACTGCAAGATTCCAGATTTCCATGGTTATTTCAGGGAATCCATCATGAGAACCCCAAATTCAGGGAGTTCTGAGAGCAAAAGACAGATGGGATAGAACAGAGAACGGTGTTTTTCCCCAGTGTGAACTATCTGGGTGTGTATGCACCATCTTTTAGATAATTCCACCTCTTCTTTGAGATAATTCCACCTCTTCTTTGAGATAATTTCATCTCTTCTTTGAGATAATTTCATCTCTTCTTTTAGATAATTTCATCTCTTCTTTTAGATAATTTCATCTCTTCTTTTCTTCTCCTCCTTAAATTCACCATCCCTGGACTCCCAAATTCACAAATAAATGCTGCCCTCTCCTGGCTACTCAAATTCAGCAAAGCCAACCTACAACTCTGCTTTATTGCTGAATAAAGCAGTTAAAACTAGAAAAAAACAGAGTGGGCAGTGCACAGGCTGCGTTTCAGCAGCTTCCAGTGCTTGGAACTGTCCTAAAAACCTGCCTTTTTTAATCAAATCACAGATTAAACCACACCCAAAAGATCAGGAGAACTCAATGGTTGAGACAGCAGAACAGGAAACAGCCTCAAGTTGTTCCAGGGGAGGTTTAGACTCGATTTTAGGATACTTTTTTTTTTTTTTTCAAGGAAAGGGTTGCAAAACGCTGGAATAAGGTGCCAGTGGAGCCAAGGAAGAAGTGGAGCCACCATCCCTGGATGTGTTCAAAAAACGTGAGGATGTGGCACTTGGGGACATGGTTTAGTGGTGAAGACGGTGGTGCTGGGTTGATGATTGGACTTGACGATCCTAACGGTGTTTTCTGACCTTAACGATCCCTCGATTTTTATGAATCCCTAACAAAACCCCTAATTTTTAATGCCCAAGGTCGTGCAGGAACTGCTGCTGCCTGTGCCTGGAAATCGCTGCTCCACCTCATTTCCTTGGAACTCTGGAGCAACCTAAGGAGCCTCCTCTGCCCCCATCCCACATCCCCCTTGCTCAGCAACACTTGGGATGGCGCTCCCGGTGTGGAAATCAGCCCTCCCCGAGCACACCCGAGAACCTGGGGGGAGTTTATCACCATTTCTGGGAGAACTTACCGATGTCATAGGCCATGAAGTCGGAGGAGAAGCACTTGGCCCCGTGGCTCATGGAGGTGTCGTTGTGGGTGTTGCCCCCGAAGACCAGCATGGTGCCGCTCACCACCACGGCCGAGTGCAGGTAGCGGAAGAACCGGCTGTCCTTCAGGATGGTCCTTTTTTGGGGAATGCAAACAACACCCGTTAGCCAGGCTGGGGGAAAAAAAAAAAAAACAAAAACAAAAACCCAAACCAACCCGTAAATCCGAGCTGGAGAAGTGCAGGGAAAGGGTTGGTGGGGTGAGGGTTGGAATCGCTTTTCCTAACGAGGTGTTTGACGGCTTCCTTTCCACGCTCTTCAGTCCCTCCCGTAATTCCCGTTCTCCTCTTCCCCATCTGCTCATGCCAGTTTAGAGGAGAAATATATCTAGGAGAGCCTCTTTCCAGAGCTGTGGATCTTCATATCACCCGTTCCCTCCCCAGGGATTCTCAGCTTTTCACTCTAACTGGGCTTTTGAGCGCAGACAGCCTGGGAGGACTCCAATATTTCAGAGTAACTCTGCTTTTACAGCAGCCCAAAGGATTCTCCCACACTGGGCAGCAGCTGTTGCTCGTAACTAAGAATCCTGGGTTTTAAGGAAATCTGTGCAGCTCCCAAAAATGGAGCCCTGCAGGTTAATACCTGCCCAACTCAAGGGCTCCTCTGGGACTAAATTAGGGAGAGCACTAATCAAACTGAGCGCTGATCCCACGGTTAATAAGTGGGATTGACAGCACTGAACACAAAGGATCATCCTTTGTAGAATTTTCCTATTATTTTGAGAGGGTTTGGGTTGAATGAGGGGATTCTGTCCCTTTGCTCTGGTCTAACGAGACTTCCCCCCTGCAGAGCTGCCCCCAGCCCTGGGAACAACAGCACAAGGACGTGGAGCTGCTGCAGAGAGTCCAGAGGAGGCCCCGGAGATGCTGCCAGGGCTGGAGCCCCTCTGCTCTGGAGCCAGGCTGGGAGAGCTGGGGGGGTTCCCCTGGAGAAGAGAAGGCTCCAGGGAGACCTGAGAGCCCCTGGCAGGGCCTAAAGGGGCTCCAGGAGAGCTGGAGAGGGACTGGGGACAAGGCATGGAGGGACAGCACACAGGGAATGGCTTCCCATTTAGATGGGATATTGGGAAGGAATTGCTGGCTGGGAGGGTGGGCAGGCCCTGGCCCAGGTTGGGCAGAGAAGCTGTGGCTGCCCCTGGATCCCTGGAAGTGTCCAAGGCCAGGCTGGAGTAAGCTGGGCTAGTGGAAGGTGTCCCTGCCCATGGCAGGGGTGGAACCTGATGGTGTTTGAGGTTCCTTCACCAAGGGACACCAAGCTGAGGTGGGGGTGACGAGCCATCCAGAGGGACTTGGAGAAGGTAGGGAAGAGATCCCCATGGGAAACTCCTGAGATTTAACAAGGAAGAGAGGGCCTAAACCAGTGAAGAATTAAAAAAGGGAGGCGATGACAGCAATAAAAAAGCAGAGCTAGAGATGAGCAGACAGCCCCACCCTCTCCCTGCAGGGCTTGTTCCCCAGGGCTCCCCGGGCTGGCAGAGCCCAAGTGACGCGAGGAAGTTGGTGCTGCAGCAGTTCAGAAGAACATTGTCACTTTTGTGACATTTTTCTGCCTGTTCAGCCAGATTTGCTGAATTGGCTGAAGTGGAGGATCAAATGAACCCAGAAAGGAAGTGTGGTTACACTGTGTGCACAAGGGAGCAGGAAGGAAGGGTTTGGAAATTAGTCCCTCGTTATTTCACTCATCAGCACAGACTCACGGGCAGTTGTTGCAGAAACACAGGCTAATTTAACCCTCAAAAAAAAAGGGACATGGTGACTCAAATTTCCATGTCTCAACTCAAAAGACAGTCTCCTTTTTGTCAGGAGCTTTTAGAAACAACTTGAAGAAAACCACAGAACTGAGGAGAAAATGTCTTTCACCTCCAAGTTGTCAAGTGTGGCTACAGCTTTTTAATAAAACTCACCTTTGGGCAGAAACAAATCACAGAAGATTTTCAGCTTAAGAAATGAACATTTCAAGCAGTTACAGAGCCAGAAGAAAATGGGGTTGTAATAGAAATTCTTTTACAGTCTTAACTGCAGAGTGAATTATCCCTCACTTGACTGCAGTAACTGCACTCATATGCACAGGCTGGCAAGAGAAAAACCATCAAATATTTTTCTTTTCAGCTTGAATGGAACAACAGATTAAAATGGATGGCTTGGCTCGTTCACAGCCTTGATTAGATGTGATTATATGATTCTCCATTCACGAAGGGATATAAAAATAAGGGATCCAGGAGAACAGCATCTCTCCTGAACACAGGCAGATATAAACCACCATACCCCTCTCAAATCCTCCATCCTCTTGGTCACTACTGACAAAAAATATGGGCTGGGGAGACAGGAAAAAAAGAAGGAAAACCCACTTACCACATCCGGGAATCAACTTCATACTTGTACAAATCATCTGCCAGCCTGTACTTGTTGGCACTGAAGGCTTTGTAACCCCCGTGGATGTAAATCGACCTGGTGTTGGGATCATAAACGCTGCTGTGGCCATACCCCCCCTGCACCAAAGCTCCACTGGTCTGTAAAATGCTCCAGGTATTTGTCACTGAAAAAACAGGGTGATAAAACCACAATCAATTCCTCTCCACAAATAACTCATCAGCAACGTGGGGGAGGCAAACTGGGATTCCCCCAGCTCAGATCTGCACACTGCCCCTCATCACCTCACAGCCAAAAATACCCTCCTTCCAGGAGTTTGTTGTCGAGAAGGACTGTAAAGTATTTTTAATTAGGGCAGGAGTAGCTTTTTCACGGTCATTTATTACATTTTTGCAGGCAATCTAAGTAAATGAGACATGAAAAAACAGAGAAATAATAGATTGCATTCCAGTGGCATGAAAATGCCAGCACTGGGACTTGGTTTGGAATGGGACCCAAGAGCACTTTTACTTTTTATGTACATATAAATATATATATGTAAAGCCAGACAGCACTTGAAGCCAAGTCTGACTGTGAAGAACAGGGCAGTTAAAAACTAATCTGTGATTAATGGTCCTGTGTCTCACTCACTAAAATAACATTGGTCTGAAGCACTTTAGACATAATGTAACAGCAACTGGAATAAAAATGCCAAATTACACAGCAAATCTCCGTAGGAAGTGCACAATGAAACCCTGCACAGGCTTCCCAACTCCAGGGCAGAGCAGGAACACAAAAGGCAAAGGAATTGGATAGTGTGGGAAAAACAAACCACTGTCCTACACGTCCAAGAGGAAGAAAACTCCCTCCTGTGGACACCAGAGAACCAGCTCCAGCAGATTCCCTGGATCAGGGGCACTGGGAAGACAAGGATAACAGGTTCCCAGTGCAGACAGGGCCACTGTTTTTGAGAACAACCAGCACATTCCTGTGTGAGCTTCCTGTGCTTTCCCACGATCCCTGCCCCGGAGCCAGGGACGTGCCTGCATTTCGGAGTTAGGAGGAAATTCAGTTCACCTGGACAGAGCTTCCTGGGCTTCACTAGAAACCCCTGGATCTTAAAAATCACCCTCAGAATCTTCAAATCATCGTCTCTATTTCCAGAGGAATGGTGGATCAGACCATACCAGGGATATGGGAATCCAGAAATCCATCCCCTGTTCCCCTAAGGCCCTTGCTGGGGATATTTGGGATCAGGCTAAGCGGGTGCTTGGTCTGAATTAAAAAAACCCTTAGTGAAAAACAATCTGATTGAAAAGATAACTTCAGAAGCGTTTGTTTTACCAGAGGGAAAGAGGAAAATTCAGCTGTCCCCCAGTTCTCCTGCTTTGTTGCTCCACTACAGACCCTTTTGCCCTCGGGAGCTCTCGAGGAGTACGAAGTCGGAGGCTGCTCTCTTAGAGAGATATTAAAAGCCAAAATAACTGTCAAACCACCCCAAACCCGAGGCAGGGAGGGCCCCACTCACCCAGGTTGTACTCCTGGACGTTGCTGATGTAGCCATAGAGGGGGCAGTGGCCGAAGATGACCAGCATGACGGTGCTGTTGTCCCGCAGGGTGACGATGTGGGCGGAGTGTCCCACCACGGCGTACTGCTCCTTGGCCCTGGGAGACACCTGGGCCCAGCTCTGGTTGGAGATGTGGAACACCCACAGCTGGCTGCTCACGTTCCCCGTGGCATCAATCTTCCCCCCATACATGTAGATGTTGTCCTGAGGAAAGGGCACAGTGGAATGAGGGCCGAGGGATTGAGGGAAGAGATGAAAGGTAAGGAGTGAATTGCTGCTCTGAAGGAACTGGAAATACTTCAGGAAGTCTCCTGGAGGGGGACTGGGGACAAGGCATGGAGGGACAGGACACAGGGAATGGCTTCCCACTGCCAGAGGGCAGGGACAGATGGGATATTGGGAAGGAATTGTTGGCTGGGAGGGTGGTGGGGCCCTGGCCCAAGTTGGGTAGAGAAGCTGTGGCTGCCCCTGGATCCCTGGAAGTGTCCAAGGCCAGGTTGGAGCAACCTGGGCTAGTGGAAGGTGTCCCTGCCCATGGCTGGGAGTGGGACTGGATGATCCTTAAGGTCCCTCCCAACCCAACCCATTCCATGATTCCAGGATGAATTTCCCCCCTTTCAGGTTGTTCAAGTGCTCTGTTTGTCAAGTGGTGCCAGTGGGGAGTTTTTGAGTGTTTATAATTAAGTTTTGTGTAGCCTTGCACCCGTGATGAGCTAATTAACATTCCAAAAATCCAAAGGTCAGGAAAGGATCAGCTCATTTCCTTTCCAAAGGCTCTGCCATGCTGCTCTCCCCCACACAAGCAAGGCACAGAGGGGAGAAAAGGGAGGTAAAAGCAGCCAAATCCACCTGCTGTGGATGCTGGGAGAGCTGACTGACAGTTTTACTGCAGGAGCAGAGCAAGTTCCAAAAAAAAATCCCTGATTTCCCCAGCTCTGCTCTGGTGTCTTGGACAACAGAGCTCCTAAAAATATTTATGTGACCCGCACAAAAGGCAGCTGGGAAACAGCTGAACTCCAGCAAACTCAGCCTCAGGCATGTCTTGCCAACACAGACAGCAAGGAGGAGGAAATCATGGACTCACTGACCTCAGACAGCCCTAAAATCCCTGGAAAAAGGGCAAACAAGGAACACACAAGCAAAGGCACCACAGACTTGCCAGGATCCCAGCTCAAGGATTCTCTGGAGCACCAGCACACGGCCTGGGCTAACCATGGACAAGCCTTGGAAGGAGAAATGCTTCTCCCAGACAAGGCTGATCTGGGATAAGGGGTGGGAAGCCAGGGGGAAGGAGGGGGGGAATCAGCTGGGAAGGGAGTTTGGAACTCTGAACTTACCTCGTGTAACGCCAGGGAATGACCATATCTCATCTCCACTGAGTTCACAGAGCTGTTCAGGGGAAGCCACTCCTCAGAAATAAGATCATACCTGGGGAATAAAAACTGAATTAACCTCCAAGAAATAGGTATTAAAGCTGGGAAAATTACGGCCTGTCCTTCCCAAGGTTCGGGGGGAATTATTTACCAAAACAATATAAGATTATAAATTAATATTTACTAAAATAATAAATCCCAGCCATGATTTCAGCAGGCACCAAGCTCCCACAAGCTACTTATGGATTAAAAAATCCAGTCCAGCCTGCTCTGTTACTCAACATCCACATATTGATTTGCTTTGCCCCGTGTCCTTTCCAATGCAAACCCAGGAGTTAATGCACTGTCTATTAAACTGTGGCAACTCACACCACATCAGCCCTCAAAAAAAAAGTATAAAAACTTGCACACTAAACTCAGGTAAGTTCCAACTACTTCATTAAAAAAAAAAAAAAAAAAAAAGTGAGTGCTCAAAAAGCACTTTTTAATTACGTTTTTGCCATTCAAGCTTGAAATAACACAAACCCTCTGCCCTGAAAATGGCCTGTGGTTTTTTATTTAAAACACTGCACTGTGTCTGTCAGGCTGAGAGCCTTGTGAGATAAAATCACCTCTGAGAAAGTCTTCAACAAAGCCATAGGGTATCCCATTAAAAAAAAAGGGTGTTTTCAGCCGCTCTTTAATTTCCCCCTACAAGAATTATCATCTCTGGATGTGAGTGCAGAACACACAGCTCCCATTTAGGTACAAAGGGAGGTACAAAGACATCCCTGGAAAAAAAAAAGAAAATCCAGCTTTTGCCCAGTTCTGTCCCAACCCAACCAAGCTTGAGGGGAAGCCTGAAAATCTGATGGTTTTTAAGAGGGATCTCCCAATTATTACTTGATGTTTTTTAGGTGTTGTTAAATCTCCTCCACTAACTGCTTAAATGTCCTCATCTCAAAAGCCATTCCCTGTTTGTGTCCCATCCAATAGGGAAAGCCATCCCCGGTACTCAGGAGGTGTTAATTGAGGAGCCAAAGCCTCTGAGGTCACACAAACAGAACACAAGGATCTAAAAAACACTGAAGCTCTTTAAATTTTATTATCTGGGTTTCTACTCACGCTAAAACCTTCTGAGAGTCGGAGTGGTTGAAGACGTAGCCCCCAACAATCCACATCTTGTTGTCGTGGATCACCGTTTTGTGGGAGGCTCGAGGGAGTTTGGGAAGAGAATATTCCTCCCGGGTCCAAAAGGACTGGTTTGCAGGAACAGGAATGGAACAGCCAGGACCTGGCAAAAGAAGGTTTGAAAATGAAGTTGTTGGTTTGTTTGGTTGTTTTTTTTCCAAAGCCTGTGTTTCAACTCGAGGTCAGTCTCCTGCCAGTGCTGTAGCTGGCTGCATTTAATGTAAGACTAATTCTTACATGTCAGGATGTCAGTGCAGAGGAAAATGTGTGTTCAGTCCAAATCCCTGCTAAAACTGAGGCTGCTCAGCTCAGCTGGATGTGAGAATGAGGCATCAGCTCAGTCATGGCTCAAACTGGCTTTAGGTGAACAGGAAGGAGATTTAAAGTTGTTACCTGATGCCTCCAACCCACGGGCTGGTCCTGCTTTGTATGGGGGCAAAGCTGCTTTTAAAGGCACTTTGTTAAAAATCATACAATCCCACAATGGTTTGGGTTGGATGGGATAATAAAGATCATCTTGTTCCACTCCCCTGCCATGGGCAGGGACACCTTCCACTATTCCAGGTGGCTCCAAGCCTCATCCAACCTGGCCTTGGACACTTCCAGAGATCCAGGGGCAGCCACAGCTTCTCTGCCCAACCCGGGCCAGCCCCTCCCCACCCTCACAGCCAGCAATTCCTTCCCAATATCCCATTTAAATCTTCACTTTTCCACTCTGAAGCCATTCCCTGTGTGCTGTCCCTCCATGCCTTGTCCCCAGTCCCTCTCCAGCTCTCCTGGAGCCCCTTTAGGCCCTGCCAGGGGCTCTCAGGTCTCCCTGGAGCCTTCTCTTCTCCAGGGGAACCCCCCCAGCTCTCCCAGCCTGGCTCCAGAGCAGAGGGGCTCCAGCCCTGGCAGCATCTCCGGGGCCTCCTCTGGACTCTCTCCAACAGCTCCATCCTCCCAAATGGAGCGTGATCCTTTAATACTAAAAAGCAAATACCCTGTTCCTGCTCGAAATGCTGGTATTGTGTCACTGGGAGCATTCCCACACACCCCCAATTAAACTGCCAGCACCCCACACAGGAAAGTGCCTCCCAAACCCTCCCTCCATCCCCCAGGACACTCACCCTGCCAGCCTGGGGAGCACACACAGGCCCTGGAGTCGTTGGTGTCGCAGTGGCCCCTCTCGGGAGCGCCGCAGTCCCCGGAGCAGTAGGGAATGTCACAGGCTTCCCCCTTCCAGTGTTTGGCACAGTCACATTCCAGAGCCTTGGTGCTGCTGTTGAGCCTGCACTCCCCTCGGCCAGAGCAGTTGTTGGGACACATGTTGAAGCTGGGAAGGGCAGGGAAAGGATTTGTAAGGGGTGGAGGGGATTCCCAAGACTCGTTAGGCCAGATGATGTTAACACAGTTTGCTCCAGCCAAGCCAAGACTCATCCTGGTGTGATGCACCTGCAGGGATTTGTTCCCTCCCCTCAGGAGTTAAAAGTCTCAACTCCTCTGAAAAAATTAATATGATTTTTCAGCCACTTTTAATGCAAATGAATGGCCTAAAACACACCCAACAGCGAGTGAGGCATTGAATCAGCTGCTGTGGTGTCTGTGCAGTTCAGACTCAAACTGCTCACAGTCAGGTGCTATTCTGGGATCTGCTCCCCAGGGGAACATGCTGGAGATGAATCCCAAGCCAAAGATGTGCCTGGTTCCAATCATTCCTGATTTTATAATATCTGCAGCGGAGCTGGGGCAAAACCAGAGACGCCCTTGGTGAGGATCCAAATTTAGAGGCCACATTCACCTCCAGGGCTCCAGGTTTTGCTGGTGTATCAACCAGTATAGCTCATAAACGGGGATTACTGCCCAATATTCCCACTGTCACTGGTCCAAGACCATCATTCCACAGTGTTTGCTGAGTGCCTACACCCAGGAGTAACTGTAAGGACTGATAAAGGAAATAAAAACACCCTTTAATCTACTCACTGCAAACATACCACAAGGAAAGGTAAAAACCAGACCACGAAACACCACTTAAAAATCGTTTAAAATCATCGAGGAGGTGAAGAAAGGAAGGAACATTACCCTTGAAGAGAGTATTTTAATGCCATGGTGCAAAGCCAACAGCTGGCAGTAGGTGGAGTCCTGGTTTGCAGGATAATCCAGGCTTGGAAAACGCTGCTCCTTCAGCTCCTCTGATTCAAGTAACTTTGTAAAGGCTTCTCGTTTCTTCTGGGGCTTTCAAGGGGTGCTGGATGTCCCCTGTTTCTCAAATAATCTATTTTCATGTGGATCATTAAGCACATATTTATGTGCTTACTCAGGATGAAAGCACCAAGACTGGTGTTTAAAAAGAAGCTCCTCATTTTAAGAAAAACTCCGTTTTTGCAAAAAAAGTCACCTGAGACCAAAGCTTTTGCAGTTGATTTTTTTTAAAAAAATGGTGAGAACTTCTGCAAGTTACCCCCAAATTAAATCTCCTAGTGTGGCACAACTATCACTTCTTTTTGTAGGAGTAAAAAAATTCAAAGCTCGTGATCCCCAAGGAAGTAAAAAAATTTCACCTCTGAGTCCGATCACTGACTTCAAAACAGGGCCTTTCTAAAAGCAGTTGATGAATTAGGCAGAACCCCAAAATCACTTTTAAAAAAGCTCCTCAACGAGGACTAAATATGTCAGGGAACGGAAAGCACCCACCTGTAATATTTAAAGTGTGAATGAAAAGAACATAAAAACCATTCCGGACTAAAAAGAAGCCAAATCGAGGGATATTCAATCCAAAAACTGAATTAAAAAAAAAAGCATCCCAAGGATGAGGATCCCCAAGAGTAGGTTGTGCTGATGGAAAAGTGTGTTTGTGGAGAATTCCCTGCTGCAGACACGCACGAAACACACCGATCCCGGCCGATTAAACGGGATCAAACCCATCTAATAACACCAAAATTCCAAGGAAAAAAGACCCTGCTCCACCTGCAGGGTCTCTCTGAGGGGGAAGGGGAGTGCCACTTGCCTGTAGGTGATGTTGAAGCCCGTGAGGTTGTAGGCAGCGTCGCTGAAGAAATGCAGCAGAGCGTAGCCAGAGGTGGCTACAACTTCAGGGACTGTCTCGTTGCTGTCCTTCTCGGGGACAATGAGGCCACTGGGAAGGGAAATGAGAAAATAAAACACTGTTAAAAGTAATAAAAAACCAAAAAAGGCAGCACAGCAACAAAAGTGCATCAGTGTTAACAGAACAGCTGAAACTCTCAGTGTATTTGCGTGAGTCGAAGAATAATGAATTGGTGGAATCGTAAGTAAACGTATTTTAAAAGTATTTAACCTCGAGTGAGCTTGAAGATGTCAGGAATTCCACTTATTGCTGTCAAAAGCCTTTCCCCTGCCTTGTTATTTGGCCGTGATTTAAGCAGGGCCTGATCATAAATAAAGAGGTATGTTTGGAAACAGAAATCAGCGTGTCCCAAAAGACTAAAATCTGCACTACCAAGCCAAATTAAAGGTGTGCTGTGCCCAGGATGTCCCTCCTGAGTCTGGGCTGCAGCAAATTCTCAGGAAAGGATGAGGTAAAAAAGCCATACAGAGCATTTTGGTGATGTGTTCTCCAGCTTCCAGAAACCCAGCACAGGTGCTGTGACCTGGAGAAGTCACCCAGGTCAGCACAGTTAAATAAACCATCCATCCATGCTTCCATCCAGTTCCTTTCTCAACCACTGGTACCCTTTTCGACTGGAAAATCTGCAGCAGGGAGGTCAAAAATTTAGCTCTGCAACAGCAGTGAGAAACACGGACAATCAGCCATGGAATCACAGACTGGTTTGGACTGGAAAGGACCTTAAAGATGGTCCAGTTCCACCCCCTGCCATGGGCAGGGACACCTTCCACCAGCCCAGGGTGCTCCAGCCTGGCCTTGGACACTTCCAGGGATCCAGGGGCAGCCACAGCTTCTCTGCCCAACCTGTGCCAGGGCCTCCCCACCCTCCCAGCCAACAATTCCTTCCCAGTATCCCATTTAAATCTTCACTTTTCCAGTGGGAAGCCATTCCCTGTGTGCTGTCCCTCCATGCCTTGTCCCCAGTCCCTCTCCAGCTCTCCTGGAGCCCCTTTAGGCCCTGCCAGGGGCTCTCAGGTCTCCCTGGAGCCTTCTCTTCTGCAGGGGAACCCCCCCAGCTCTCCCAGCCTGGCTCCAGAGCAGAGGGGCTCCAGCCCTGGCAGCATCTCCGGGGCCTCCTCTGGACTCTCTGCAGCAGCTCCACGTCCTTGTGGTGTTGTTCCCATTTTTTGTCTTTTCTGTCAGCCTCTCACACTCCTGACTCCCATTTCATTCCTTGCTTCACGCTTCTGGACACCTCTGGCTGTTCCTCTCACCCTTCCAGGCTCTGCAAGATCCTTCTAAATTTTCAGTGAAGCAAGATTTTAGTTTTCCACGATTGGCAGAGAGAACTGAGGACGGTGGGCAAGATTATTTACAGTATTCCAACCTGGCCACAGCATGGATTTATATAAAGGCTTGCCCGAAATAACTGGGGTAAAATTAATAGAGAGCAGGAGACTAAACGAGTTTCGAAAAAAAGTAATTACTAACTATTTACCCACTGCACTGAGCAGGGAATGTTTATTCTTCCTTTTACAGAAGCTTGATAACAACCCAATGAAGTCAATTCCTCCCTCACACAAAGGACATCAGAGCAGGTGTGAATTGGAAGCTCCATGACAAGGGGAGGCTCGAGTGTGTCAGGCAGGGAAAAGGAGGCAGCTCCAGTGGCTCTCCCGGGAAAGCACCCGCCGAAAAGCAGCAACGAAAAGAACGTTTCCCCCTTGAAAGGGGCTTTACTTTTCCTCTTTTCACATCTATTCAGAACAGAAGGCAAGCGCGGCGCGAGGCACTTCCCCAGGAGCTGTAAATGAGTTCCTACACCCAAGGAGTGGGTAAATGAGTTCCTACACCCAGCTATCCCCAGCATCCGCCCCCACTGCCTGGAGAGCGCTTTCTGGTGACCTGAATTACAGTGCTGTGCTTCAGTGAATACCCCAGACACCCAGTGATCCTTTCTTGCTGCGGATTTTGGGCGGCTTGCACCAAAAATCCCAGACGAGGCGTTACCCCACGGCAGGGTCACCCTGCAAACTGCACAACGGGTCTTGTTTTGTGGGCACAAAGATGTCCTTCGTTTCACCAACGTGCCAGAAAATCGCTGGAACCCGATCCCATGTTTTGGTTAAACAACTCCAGCACCAGAAACATTTCCCTGCCAGGAAGGCAAGATCCCAAACCCCGCCCTCCTTTCAGATCTCGGGGATAAACGGGGTTAAAATGCAAAATTAATTCCTTTTCTCCCCTGTTTCATTCCCCACATCTGACACTCCTGATCTGAAGTTTATCCCTCCCAAAAGATCATCGCCCGAAGAACACAAAGCCTAATCAACTTCTGGTTGGGTTCATAATGTTCCTTTGTAATGGGAACTGCAGGATGGCACTTCTGCTCCACAGGAAAACAGACATTCGGAATGTAATTCAGGATAAGGAAAACTGCAGCTCAGGGACGAGAAAAAAACCCCTTTGTTCTGGTTTCTTCTTCAGCACTTATCTCTGATATTGCAGGGTAAAATAACTGGAAGGCCCTGGAGAAGGGGGAATAACAGCAGTAAAGAATAAAAGCAGCGAGAGAAGAGAAAAATCCCCCTCAATAATCTTTCCTAATAAAAGGACGACCACAGGACAATTGTTTGTTTTCTCGTGGAAGTCTCAATTTTGTCTGGCAACAACGCAGGCACCTCCACAGCTGATGCTCTCACCACATCTCCCAACTGCTCACTTATTCCCATCCTTTTCTGGGTGTAAATAACTGAAGGGACATTATCCCACCTACACAAGTTGAAAACAACCCGAGGAAAATTAATCACAGGATCTCACAAGGGTCTGGGTTGGAAAGGAGCCTGAAAGACCATCTTGTCCCAACAAAACAGGGACCACCTCCCACTAGATTGCTCCCGACCTTGCAAACTTCCAGGGATGGGGGTTTGGGATTCCTTTCAGGGAAAGCCACGGAGAGAACTCGACACAACGGTAAGGATCAGATCCTTGAAAGGCCGAGCCTCCAAAAGCCATGAATAAATCAGCACCACACCCAACAAAACCAGCACGGACAGAATTCACACTTTCTGCCACCGCAAAGAAGCCAACGGGCAGGCTCAGAATGATAAAGGATTATGCAAAACTTCCTTTTAAACTCTGCTCCAGACTCCCCGAGCAGCTCTGGCTGTGGCCAGGATTAGGCTGTTTCACAACACGCCGCTTTTATTCCCTTTCATAAGGTTTCAAAACATTTCGCAAGCGCCCGCTACTCCAAAGCAAACAAACACTCCTACTCAGCCCGCCTGCCCAGGGACACCCGGGAAAGGCAAAGCCCTGATTCCCGCTGGAATTACTCCTGTTTTCTGCCGGCTGGATGTGTGGAGTCAGCGGCACGGTGAAAACCGTGCCACAGGGTCACGGATTCCTGGAATGGTTTGGGTTGGGAGGGACCTTAAGGATCACCCAGTGCCATCCCCTGCCATGGGCAGGGACATCTTCCACTAGCACAGGGTGCTCCAACCTGGCCTTGGACACTTCCAGGGATCCAGGGGCAGCCACAGCTTCTCTGCCCAACCTGTGCCAGGGCCTGCCCACCCTCCCAGCCAGGAATTCCTTCCCAATACCCAATTTAAATCTACTCTGTCCGTGGGAAGCCATTCCCCCTTGTCCTGTCATTCCATGCTGTTGTAAATAGTCCCTCTCCATCTTTTTTGGAGGTACTGGAAGGCCACAATTAGGATCAGGAGACCCAGCTTCTCTACTGCCCTGTTCTCTGCCCTAAACCATCAAAAAATGAGAATTATTTTTAAAAATTGGTTAAAGAATTATTTTTTTAAAAAAGGGATCTCCTATTACTTTCCCTGGATTTGCTCTGTGGCCATCACGGTGCTGGTGGATTCCTCATTTCCTCCCGAGACACAACCTGTCAGAGATCAAAAGGCATGAGAAGCTCTGCTGAGAAGAAAACGGGAAAAAGTGGGAACCACAAAAGGAAAGGCAGAAAATACAGAGCACAGGAGTCAAAGGATGAGGGTGGTACTGAAAAATCAGCTTCACAACCTCTCAAAATCCAGTGCAAACCAATTATCCGAATTTTTAAATACTCTGATCCATCTGGACACGCCTGTGCACAAAATGACACCATTTCTCTCTTATGAAAAACCAGTCCATGCTCCTCACCTATACTGGGAACTGCAAGAGTAAAAATAAACCAGAAATAGATGTTACAAGAGACCAACAATAAATCAGTGGTGAAGAGTAAAAAGAGGGGGGAGAAAATAAAGAGACATCTCAAATTTATTGTCTGAAATGAAGCAAGATGACTCCCAAACATGGACTTTTAAGGAAATAAAGCCATAAAGGAGATTCTGATTAGACATCACTATTAGATTCATTAATTATTATCATTTTTTAACATGAGGGCGGCTCAGCACTGAACCACTGACCCACAGGATCAACAAGATCTCCATCCTAAACAGAAATTCCCACCCTGACTGGGCAAAATCTCGAGCAAAGGGCTCTGAAGCCAGAGCTGCTTTGAGAGAGGGGATCAGACCCTTCCATCCCAACTCACCCCTACGCCCAGATTTGGGTGCTCAGGTGCCACACTGACCTGCAAGGAAGGGAAGGGGAGCTGCTCCTGTCTCCTGAGGGAACAAGGGCTCACGTGGAGGCCACCAGGACCACCCCCCTGGCACCTGATGGGAGCCACCAGGAGCTCCTGGGCCTTGGCCAAAGGTCTTGCACAAGAACCACCGGGTCTGAAGGGGAAAACACCCCCCCCCAACCAGTGCAAAATGAAAACAAAGCTGCAAAAGCTGCTCTGGTAAATGTTTAACGCCGAGTAAAGTCACCAACAAACCCAACAGAGTTCACAGACGCTGAGAGCAGTTTGTCTAAATCAGATCTGGAGTTCATCTGACTCAAGATTTCTTCTGGATTTGTTTCCTCCCCGTTCTTTTACTGCGTATTTTTGAAGCTGCACGTTGACACAGTCTCATCTCACCCCTGATCACAAATACAAGCCAGCAAAGATATTTTTAACCCTGTTTAATATAAAAAAGCTTAATGTGCAGGACCAGAGAGCCCCCGGGGGGCTCTCAGGCTACGAGGAGTTCAGTCTGTGCAGACACTTGGACTGTGTAAATGTTGGCATTATGCAAATATTTATTGCTGTTAAAAATTGATAAAACCAACTTAAAGCTTCCCCACAGTCCAGCGCTGAGGATTTCCAAGATCATCTTCTATGCAGGGTAAATATCATCTTGTGAACAAACACAAAGGAGCACCAGAAGGTCAAGAAAACAAGATGAGAGCAGGGAAAGAACTGAGGGAACTGCTGTAAAGAGGCAGGGAGTGAATAAAAACTGAGTTTAGAGAGGGAGGAATTTACAGTGTTTATCAACAAGCTCTGAAAGTTTGCAGTGTCCAGCTCGACCCTGCAAATCCCCTGGCTGGGTGCAAAGATAATGGAGAAGGAAATAGAGTGAATAATGAATTTAATACAACCCCCAAAAATTAATAAAATATGAATGCTGCTCTTAAAAAAAAAAAAAAATTCCAATGTCTTTATTTTTGTACCAGAGAAAGGTATTTCTCAACAGATGCTTTTCTGGCACTTGATCAAAACGAGAAGCATCTGCCATTTCCTGAACTTGGATTACTGAACACCACAGCTCAGTGCTAATGAAGATGAAATTCAAATGTCATCTAAAGAAGCAATTAAAGAAAATAATTGAATTTTTTTTTTTCCCCTCCCTCAAAAGTGTTATTGTATTAAGCTCACTCTTGCTTGTCCTCAGGCCCAGACTTCCCGGTGATTTACAGAGGATTTTCCAGTCTCAGCCGTAATTGTTAATGCTGTGAACCACTTATAACCTCCATTTCAAAAGCCTATTAATTTTTGGAAAACACACAAGGAACTGGCAGGCACAAATCATCATCATCATCATCATCATTTCACCTTCTCACCAGCACACTCAAAACGGGCTCGATTAGAGGGAAATGATGAGGAGCAGAGATGGCATTTCCTCCTCTTCCCGCACATCAATCAGCCCAGGATACCCGGAGAGCACTTCCAGGTGCCGCTTCCAGGGGTTTTTTTGGAGGTTTTTAGAGGAGGGAAGGTTGTTTCTTCTTCAAAACGAGGTGAGAATGACACAATAATTCATCCCCCGCAGCTCCTTCCCTCCAAACCACTCTGCAACCGCAGCTGGAGACCACAAAAACAACCCCCCACACGTGGTGGCTCTGATATTTTGATCAACTTTCTGTTCCTCTGCTGATCTTCTCTCCTCGAGATTACAAGGGTTTTCCAGAACAAACACCAAGTACTTTTAGATCTTGGTTTCCACAGAGGAGAGGGAGCCCAGCAGAAGGTTAATTCTGGACGTGGTTTCGCAGCCGTGTGGAACAAGCAGAGCCCAAGGGGAGCCATTTGTTCTTTTCCCATGGATAACTTGGATTATTTTCCTGATTTCAGCTACAAGAATGAAAAGCATAAGGTGGTGGTGGTGTCACTGTGGGACTGAAGCACAGGAATGCAGCAGTTACTGTGGGGTCTGGTGTGAAATGCTGGTTGTTCACCACCAGCCACAAACCGGTGTCACGAGGGGGATGAGCCAAATTCCTGTCACCCCTGGGAAGAAGGGATATTTTTACACGTGTCAAGTGCTGGAGAGGGACATCTGACAAGGGCATGGAGTGACAGGACACAGGGAATGGCTTCCCACTGCCAGAGGGCAGGGAGAGATGGGATACTGGGAAGGAATTGTTGGCTGTGAGGGTGGGGAGGCTCTGGCACAGGTTGCCCAGAGAAGCTGTGGCTGCCCCTGGATCCCTGGAAGTGTCCAAGGCCAGGTTGGAGCAACCTGTGCTAGTGGGAGGTGTCCCTGCCCACGGCAGGGGGTGGCACTGGATGGTCTTTAATTTCCCTCCCAACCCAAACCATTCTGGGATTCTAAGTTTCCACAAGGTTGTCTGATCCTTTGCTGTTGCTTCTGAACACGTAACAAATAGTTTCAACATTAAAATATTGAGGCACATAAAGACACACATTTGTCCAACCCCTGGCCCTGCCCAGACACCCCAACAATCCCACCCTGTGCCTGAAAGCATTTTCCAAATGTTCCTGGAGCTCTGGCAGCCTTGGGGCCGTGACCATTCTCTGGGGAGCCTGTTCCAGGAGGACCCTGCACTCCAAATCATGCAAAAAAAACCCAACTCCTTAATTGCTTATTCTGATGACCACTGCCCAGAAGGACACACTGGCTGCACTGCTGCACTGGCAGGGTTGGATGTTTGGATCCCTGGGACTCATGTGCACTGCTGGAAGCCACATTTAAGCCAGGTTTTAGATGGAAAAGAGCATTAAGGGCCTTACCTGAAAGCTGCCAGTAAGGGAGCGTAAATGGAGTCTCCATCGTACACGTACAGGTGGTCCCAGCTGCACTCCGTGGCAAAGTGGTTGAACCGAAGCCTGAGGATTGTGTTTGGCCTGTAAAGAAGAGAAAAATAAATAAATAGAGGATTTGTAATCAGCCAACTCACACACAGGGCAAAATGCTCCTCCCCTGCTGGGATGCTCTGCTCTAAACCAGAGTAAAACTGAGGGATCTGTGAAACTGCAGATGCATCAAACACTCTGGGGGTTAATTTTTTTAGGTGTGCAGCTCCCCTGATATTAAGCAACAGGTTCTTTATGGTGAGAAAACAGTGTCCTTAAACCTTTCCCCAGCAGGGAATTAAGGAGAGCTCTTCCCTTGTTCGAGGGGCTTTCTGCAGGCTGAGAGGGTTTTGATGGCCTGAGGTGATGTCTGGGTGCCACGTGGAGCTCCTCACCGTGACAAGGCAGTTTGTTTCACAGTTAATGTGCAAAGATCCACCTAAAGAACATCCCAGAGAAGCCACAGCAAACCCCTGGTGGAGGGCTCAGCTCCAGGAGGGTGGAAACCCCACTGCACTGTGCTTGGACCCGAGATAAATCAAGGTGAATCTGTGTCAGCACTGCTTGCTCCCACCCACAGCTGAGGCTGCTGAAAGGACAGATCCAAGGGATTAGTGCCTCTCCAACAGCACTGCCCTCGGATTCACATGAAATCCCTGGTCATCCTAATTGGGTAAATCAATAATTTTCACTGTGCCAGAGTCGTTCCTTCCCACAGGAGCTGGGAAGGAGTTTTGGGAGTTCTTCTGCAAGTTGTTCTCTGTTTTTTGATAGCACAACGATCTGCTCCAGGCCTTTGGCAAAAGAGCAGCGGGTGGAACTCATGGATAACGTCCTGCTTTAAAAAAAAAAAGGTACAAAGAGCAGCCATGGCCTCAAAACTACGGGGTCAATAGGGTTGGCTTCCACCTGAGCAGCCTGTGGAGCAGAAAGAAATGGTCCATCAATAAATAAAGGTTCAGATCAGGAACAAAAAGCAGGAGTCTTTTTGTTCCAGCCAGTAACTCGTTAGTGGACCCTCATCTGCACCATCCCAGGCACCTGGTTGTGCCCTGGGATCGTCAGGATCCATGGATTTCACCTGCCTTGGCTCACGCTCCTGGGGAGGAACAAATTGGGATTTTTTGGGGGGGATCGATTCACCTCACCGAGCTCTCCCAAACTCCATCCCCTTCACTTAACCCTGACAAGCAACATCATGGAATTAGAGAGTAATGGAATTATTCCTTTGGGGAATAAAAAGAGGGAAAATTGAGATGGATTTGGGTGGGGTTTGGGCCATGTGGAGTTTTCTTTGGATCAACTGAGTGTTTTTATGGGAAAAGGGACCTGAGGGAGGAGGGATGGGGATGACCCCTTACTCCGAGCTCTCCCAAACTCCATCCCAACTTAACCTTGAGAAACAACATCATGGAATGATGAAATGATGGAATTATTCCTTTGGGGAATAAAACAACGGAAAACTGAAAGGATTTGGCTGTTTTCTGAGCTATTTGTGGTTTTGGGGGAATCAATTGAGTGGTTTTATGGGAAAAGGGACCTGAGGGAGGAGGGATGGGGATGACCCCTTACTCCGAGCTCTCCCAAACTCCATCCCAACTTAACCTTGAGAAACAACATCATGGAATGAGGAAATGATGGAATTATTCCCTTTGGGAATAAAATGACAGAAAACTGAGCTGGATTTGAGGGGGGGGTTGGGCCATTTGGGTTTTTCTTTGGATCAACTGAGCTTTTTTTCTGGGAAAAGGGACCTGAGGGAGGAGGGATGGCGATGATGCCTCCCTCAAGGACACCCCCAGGATGAGGGCACAGCCAGCCAGGAAGAGCCAGGAATTGTGCAGACAGGAAAGGGGAACAGTAAGGAAAAGGTGGCTTGTTTTATACAAGGAATATTTATACACAGGAATGCCAGCACTCAAGAGCTGCACAGCTTTGCAGGCCCTGCTTCCCAAAGTCCAGATGTCTGGGAATTTCACTCCTGGCAGAGCAGAGCTGGGGCTCTTTTCATGTGGCTGCATTTTCCAGCTGCTCTAATCAGCACCATTATCTCCTCTCCATTCACCACCCTCCTCTGACAGCGGCAGGGGGGACAAACAGGAAAAGGATTCCAACCTAAAAGCTTGGCCATGGAACAGGGAGGAACGTTTTTGTCTCCCCAGCAATGAAACATCTCACTTTAAACCCCACAAAGTGATGGTTTTCTAGGAAACCTCTCAGCAGCAGCCAACAGAGGCTGGAGGAGCAGTTTTGGTGACACTATCAAGGACTCAGTAGCAAAACTTCACTTCTGATAAAAAAATATGAGCCACAATATCCTTTAAAACCAGAAGTTGGGATGGTTCATCTGGCTGTGCTGGTTTGTCTGGGATAACTTTCCTGTGAAACATTTTTTAATTATTTGTAATTGCCAACTCTCTGCAGTCGGGTTCCTCTTACCCACGGAAATTAAAAGGTGTTGCCACTTGGAGCACCCAACTTTTGATCTCAGCCACCTTAAAGGACTGGGTTCCTTTGCATAGTTAATGGTGAGTGGGCTGGCTCCCAATTCCAGGGTCCTGGATGGCTCTCTGGAGCAGCTCAGCCCTCAGCTTGGAGTTTCTTTGGGAGTACCTTAGGAATTTAACCTCCCCATCCCAAATAAATGGCTGAAGTAAATTCAGTGAATACCAATTTCCTCCAAGCCCCAGTCAACAGACCTCCCAAACATGGAATCATGGAATGGTTTGGATGGAAAGGGACCTTAAAGACCATCCAGTTCCACCCCCTGCCATGGGCAGGGACACCTTCCACTATTCCAGGTTGCTCCAACTTGGCCTTGGACACTTCCAGGGATCCAGGGGCAGCCACAGCTTCTCTGCCCAACCTGTGCCAGCCCCTCCCCACCCTCACAGCCAGCAATTCCTTCCCAATATCCCATCTAAATTTTCACTTTTCCACTATGAAGCCATTCCTTGTGTCCTGGTCCCTCCATGCCTTGTCCCCAGTCCCTCTCCAGCTCTCCTGGAGCCCCTTTAGGCCCTGCCAGGGGCTCTCAGGTCTCCCTGGAGCCTTCTCTTCTGCAGGGGAACCCCCCCAGCTCTCCCAGCCTGGCTCCAGAGCAGAGGGGCTCCAGCCCTGGCAGCATCTCTGGACTCTCTGCAGCAGCTCCACGTCCTTGTGCTGTTGTTCCCAGGGCTGGGGCAGCTCTGCAGGGGGGTCTCACTGAGGGGGCAGAGGGGCAGAATCTCCCCTGTCCTGCTGCCCATGCTGGGGGATCAGCCCAGGGCACGGGGCAGGGTCTGGGCTGGGGCATCTCCAGCCCCTCCCCCACCAACACCCCCAAATCCTTCTCCTCAGGGCTGCTCTCCATCCATTCTCCCAGCCTGTGCTTGTGCTGGGACTGTCCCCTCCCAGGAGCAGCACTTTGCACTTGACCTTGTTGAACTTCATGAAGTTCCCACATTCCCCCTCTCCAGCCTGTCCAGCTGCCCCTGGATGCCCCATCCCCTCCCTGCAGGCTGTGACCCCACCACACACCTCGGTGTCACCAGCAAACCTGCTGTGGGTGCCTCAGTCCCCCTGTCTGTGCCACCCACAGGGAGAAGACCAAGGAAAAGCGTGCTCTGGGCTTTTAGCAATTCCTGGTCCTCCAAGATGCTGCTCCTAAAAATCACCACAAAACAAGGACCAAATCCAGGAAGGGAGGTCTGAGGGGCTTCTCCCAGTTTAGGAAACCTTTGTAAAACAGGTCAGTGGTCCCTGTGAAGTCCTCTTGGCCCAGTGAGTAAAGAAGGATTTGAAGGGTCACTCCAAAAACTGATTTTTCATAAACAGGGGCTTTCAGAGAGTGTCCTCTTTTTTCCTCATACTGCCAAAAAATTGTGTGTGTGGTGAATCCCAACACTGAATGGTCCCCTCTGGTATCAGTTCAGTAATTCCCAATCCTTCACTGCTTACACAAAAACACTGATTTCTGCTTACCATGTGCTGTTTCAACACAAACCTCTCAATCCCAAGTCAGTTGGGAGGGCTCAGTCGCACGAAAACACCCCAAAAACTTATTTCCTGAGAATAACCAAGTGCTGCCCCATCCAGCTTTAAGAATATCCAGAGAGAATCATGAGATACAGAAATATTTAATGCAGATAAACCTCACCTAAAAGCCACCCTTAGAAAGAGGAAATCCCAGGCTGCTTCCAACACTCACCTTCCCTCAATGAGCCAGGTGCACTTGGTCTTGTATTTGTAATTCCCAGGCCCATCCGTGACGTACCCTGAAGGTTCAGTGAGCCTGGGAGGAGAAAACAAAGGCAAACATTAGTTTTCCACTCAGAGATGATTTCCTACGTTTTCTGAAGATCCATCATTAGATTTTCATTTACTTAAGAGCCACTACAGACAAACCAAGCCCCGGGTGGGATTCTCCTGTGGGAAGTCTCTGTACGGGCTTTGTGATGATCTTTCTGACACTTTGAAGGGCATCACTTCAGGAGTGATGGTTTCTCTGTCAGATGGATGCCATGGCTCCAAGTGCACTTGTAGGGATACACCACACACAGCCAAAAAGGAATTGCCCATCGGAAAAGCCAACATTATTTTAAACTATTTATTTAGACAAACTGCACCGTTCTGGGATGAAGTTCAGACAAAGCCCATGGTGTGACCTCTCACCCTTTCAGTGTCTGACTTCTCCACAAGCTCCTTGACAACCTCCTGGATGGAGGAGAGGCCCCCAAAGCACATCCCTGGAAGTGTTCAAGGTTGGACAGGGCTTGGAGCAACCTGGGCTGGTGGAAGGGGGTGGAACAAGATGATCTTTAAGGTCCCTCCCAACCCACCCCAGCCTCTGATTCTCTGATAACCCTCTAGTGCAAAGCCAGACCTTAATCCCTCACACACCAAGGGCTGCAAAGCTCGGGACAACCTCAGAGCATGGAATTTCCAGGCATCTCCCACCACTGGCAGCACGTTCCCATCCCCAGGTCACCCCAGAGCACGTCCCCATCCCCAGGTCATCCCTGGATCAAGGGAATGAAGTCGGAGAGCTGAGTGATCCCCACTGCTGGGACAGTGCCAGGAGTGCTCTACAACATCCCTTCCCATCACTCCTATAAATAGGTGGTGAGGACTTGACAGGAGGAAAAGGCTCTGGAGAAGGATGTGAAAGCAGAAAGGACAGGTGGAATCCTTCATCCTGAGATGCTCAGGGAACAGCAGTGCTTGAAACCACAAAAAACTCAGGATGTCACTGAAAGAGAGAAGGGGGGAAAGCCTGAAAAGGACTTAGAGGGACTGGGGACAAGGCATGGAGGGACAGCACACAGGGAATGACTTCCCACTGCCAGAGGGCAGGGACAGATGGGATATTGGGAAGGAATTGTTGGCTGTGAGGGTGGGGAGGCCCTGGCCCAGGTTGGGCAGAGGAGCTGTGGCTGCCCCTGGATCCCTGGAAGTGTCCAAAGCCAGGCTGGAGCAACCTGGGATAGTGGAAGGTGTCCCTGCCCATGGCTTGGATGATCCTTAAGGTCCCTTCCAACCCAAAGCACTCCATGATTCCATGATTATCATCACCAACATCTGCAAACACCGCACAGTGCGAATTCTGGACAAGCAGAAGACAAAACCAAGATCCAAACCATCGGGATACACGCTCCCACCTCACAGGAATTAGTCAAAATACTCCAAGTGGAATTCAACAAATTGCTGAGGCAGCACAGAAACAGTTGAATAAAAATGCCAGAGCAGGATGGCAGCAAACAGCAGCAGCACCTCAAGGGGCCCAAACCCCCCATCCTGGCACAGCACACCTTGGCACCTGGAACTGGATCCCTCCCCAGGCAGGTTATAAACCCCACCCTGGGCACGAGGCTGGAGCAAATCACAGCCCTCTGGCAACATCCAACTGTCCTACTTACAACAGCTTCAGGAAAACAAAAACACCACCAAGTCAATCTTGGCAGGAAAGGGAAGGAATCGAGATCAGAAGTTCCCAAAACCGGCGTCTTGGAGCCCTTCCTGTGTCTTTTCCCAGTGAGCTGTTAATGCACCAGCTCATCTTTTTTAAATATTCTGACTGAGTCAAAAGTGATTTTCCAGCCTCTTTTCCAACAGGGAACTTTTAAGGTTCATCTCTGCTTCAAATTAAAAAGGTAAAACCCACAGATTTTTACAAACCCACCTTCCTCTCTCTCCGTGTGAATTTATTGCAACACTTTTCAACCTCAGAAACTGAGCTGAGGAAGCTGTGGCTGCCCCATCCCTGGGAGTGTCCAAGGCCAGGCTGCACTTGGAGCAACCTGGGCTAGTGGAAGGTGTCCCTGCCCACGGCAGGGGGTGGGATTGGATGGTCTTTAAGGTCCCTTCCAGCCCAAACCATTCCATGCTTCCATGATAATTTATTTTAAAGCTTCAACGTCTTTGGAAACTCAAACCACTTATCTACTGGCCAGGAATTCAAAAGACCAGATGCAAATCCCAAGCTGTAGGCAATAATTATCCAGACTGTTTTCATCCCTTTGAAAATAATATCCCTGGAAAAAGCTGGAATATCCCAGGAATCCAAGTGTATCAACACTGACAGCACTCTGCCTGCAACCAAGAATAAACAGGTTCTGGAAACCTGAGCAAAAAGTGTCCCCAATTAAAAGCAGCTTCATTCCATGTGCCAAACTCTCAGGGAGCCTCTGTTCACAAAACTCTTGGAACAGTTTTATCTGGAAGCAATTATTCAATTACTCTCCATAGAGATGCTATCAAGAGTGATATCAAAAATAAAATAATACTGTGGCCCCAGCCATGCCACATCTCAGGGGGGGAATAAAAATTAAGAGTGTTTCAACATCTACATAACTTAATAAAAGTTCAGCAGTGTAAAACCAAAACATGGCATTTAGTTTTATAAATAAAGGGACAGACAAACTTTGAGATGGTATTAGTAAAAACTTATCTGTGAGTTACTCAGACTCCTTACTAAACTCACTGCCATTATGAGCAAATAAAGGATATTAAAAAAAATATGATAAATCAGAGGTGATGTCCCTGAAAGGAAAATAAACAGGAATTAAATTCTCAGAAGTTTTTACCCCCTGCACTGGGGCATGAGCAGAGCAGCAGCATCCGTGTTATCCCATAAATACTCTGCCAGAGACACAATCCAGGACACACAGAAATGAATCCTCAGCACTGAGAGCAAACTGAAAGTGGGATTTTATGTTTCCATTCAACAGAGAAAGCTCAAGTGATGTCCCAGCTCCAGTGAAAAAGCAAACAGCGCCTGTTCCTTCCCCCTGACTGCTCCCTGTGCCGGATAACTGGGACATGTCCTGCACGGGGTTTTGGTTTGGTCTGGGAGAGAAGCCTCGGGAAGGGAACACGTGAGGAACTCGAGGAGGAGAAACACTCCAGGAATGAAGGACTTGGATGCAGCACATCTTGCTGGCACCCATCAGGTTGTGATGTGTGATCCCCTCCCGACACCGGAGGGATCCCAGGGAGCCACTTCTGGGCCCCTCAGCCAGGAGGGACATTGAGGGGCTGGAGCGTGTGCAGGGAAGGGAACGGAGCTGGGAAGGGGCTGGAGCAGCAGGAGGGGCTGAGGGAGCTGGGGGGGCTCAGCCTGGAGAAAAGGAGGCTCAGGGGGGACCTTCTGGCTCTGCAACTCCCTGACAGGAGGGGGGAGCTGGTGGGGGTCGGGCTCTGCTCCCAGGGAACAGGGACAGGAGGAGAGGGAACGGCCTTAAATTGCACCAGAAGAGGTTTAGGTTGGATATTGGGAAAATTCCTTCCTGGAAAGGGTTGTCCAGCTCTGGCACAGCTGCCCAGGGCAGGGGTGGATCCCCATCCCTGGAAGGATTTAAAATCCCTGTGGATGTGGCACTTGGGGACAGGGGTCAGTGGTGGCCTTGGCAGTGCTTATCAGCTTGATAACCTTCAAGGGCTTTCCCTCAAAAAATGATTCCACGCTAATTTTATCGCTCAGATGCAGAAATCCAACACCAGGAAGCACGGGAAGGCGTCAATTCCCATTTTTCCTCGCTCATTTGGTAGTAGGAGTTGCTGCTCCTCAAGAAGCACTTCCACACTCCTGGGTGTTCCATCTCCCCCTCTGCAAGGAGCAGCTGCTACACCCTAAGAAAACAAAACTCGGGCCCTTTACTACGACCCCCACAAGGTCCTAAACCACAACACTGCCTTTAAAACCTCCAGGGTAGAAAAAGAGCTGCCAGGATCTGTTTACAAAATTCAGATTAAAAAAAAAAAAAACACACATACACACACTCCTGTGCATTTACACGAAATATTTTGGGTTTGTTTCAATCTTCACTTGTTCACAACGTTCTTGTGTGCAATAAATTTTTACCTCACAAAAAAGAAAAAATGAAGCCACGACAAGGACGAAGAGCTCACCAAAAAAAAAAATCGCTTTTAAGGGAAATATTGTATATAAAAGGATTCTGAGTACCCAGTTGCTCCCCAGTGTTTTTGGGAGGCCCTGAAAAGCACAAAACCCATGCAGGAAAAATCAGACAGCAACTCGATGGTATCTCCTGGGTGAAAAACCCGACCTGATTTTGGGAACTGCCAGAAAACTCCGCGTGTTTTTAATTGATAACACGACTCAAAACTAGCAGGGTCTGTTTTTCAAATACAAATTAGCACACACGGAGAAAATTCCTGCGGAGGGACAGGAACTGCACAACTGGGCAAAGCCTCAAAGCTGTTGTTTAATTGCCATCTAATAAATCTAAAGCGATCCTGGTTGTTATTAGCTGAGCACAAAAAGCAGCTTATAATTTAGGATTAAATCGTTTCGCAGCACTTACTTCCAAAGCATTCCAACATTAAAGGTACATTAGATGCTGGTACATTATATATATATATATAAACTGCCACGGAAAAGTGACTTAACAGCGTGGTGCCTGCAGAGGTTTTAGCACAGCCTTTCCACTAAAAAAAAAAAACATCAAAAACAAAATTGGGAGGGGGGGAACCACAAAAAACACAAAAACCTCCAAACAAACAAAACAAAAAAAAAAGAAGAAAAAAAACCACTGCAAACAAACCCAAAAGTTCCTAATTTTGAAGTTGCTAAATCCAGAGATCGATGCCAACAATGAGGTTTTCTCCCCTCTCCCCTCTCCTTCCCCAAGTGCCTCGAGCACTCCACAATTAGAAGTCATTGTTTCGGGTGAATTTGGAGTTGAAGGCGATGAAGAAAGGGCTGTTGCAGCCCATTAGCAGCACAAAGGCTCTGCAGCCTAAATTGATTAACAATTAGGTTTTGTTCGTGTT